TACTTATTAATTTTTAATTAATATATATAAAAACGGTTATTACATTTTTTTTATTTTTAATATTTGGTAAGTTTTTTAACAGCATTATTTTTAATTTTTTTACCTTATTTTTAAATGATTATTTTTTATTTAATATACTTTTTTAACTGTTTATTTCTAAAACCTGGATAGATATTATAATTTAACTATTTTAAATATACTTACTTTAGATTTATTGTTTTCTTACTTTTTTTACATTTTTATTTAATTATAAAAAATTAATATTGATTATTTTACTATTTTATTATACTTTTAATTTTAAATTGGTTTAAATTTTATAATAAAAATAATTGTAAAAATAAATTTTAAAATTATTTTTTATTTAAATAAAATATTAATTAGATTAAATATTATAATAATAAAAATTTTCGAAATAATTAATAATTAGTTTATTAATATTTTAAGTTTAAAATTAACGAAATAAAACATAAGTTTAACTTAATCCGTTAAAAGATTTAAATCTTAACTTTATTTTTAACTTTATTACTAATTTAAAAATAATTAAAGGTAACATTATTGTTTTCTTTTTTTTCGTTTATTATTTACCAACGGTATTTAATATACATATTAGCCAGTTACATATTTTAAAAAGTAAAAATTTGGTAGATTTTCCAATTTACCGCATTATTTATAAAATTGTTTACCTAAAAAAACCTATAAATTTAAATCTTATTAATATTAATACCAAAATAATACAATGGTTTAACAATATAATTTGTTAACGTCTCACTTTTATTTCCCAAAATAAATTTAATTATAAAATTATATTATAACATTTTCTTACCTTTTACTTATTAATTATCTCAAAAATATATTTTAATATATGGTACAATAAATTTATATTAATTTATAATATAATCAAACGTTTTAATAACTAGAAATATTTTTTAAATTTTAAATTACAATTAATATTATAACTTATAACTAAAAATTATACTTATTTATTATTTTAAACCTTTAATTATTTTATATTAAATATTAATATTATACGTTTATTAAATATTAAATAATTTAATAGCGTTTACCACATAAGTTTAATTATTTATTTATTAAAGTTTATTAACAGTAAAAATTATTATAAAGTTATTATTTTTAATTTTTAAAACCAAAAATAGTTGTTTGTTAATTTTTAAGTTATTTACCAAAAAACGTAATTTAATTTAATTATTTAATAATTATAAAAATAGTTTATTAAAAACTATTTAATTTTAAATTATTATAATATTAAACGTTTTTAAAATTAAAAAACCATATTTTAAATTATTAAATAAATAAGTTTATAAATTTATAATTTAATTATTTTTAAGTTCGTTTAATTGTTTATAAAGTTAAAAACAGGCAATTAAATTAACTAACAGATTATAAATAAAAAATTAACCAAATAATTAATTATTAACTCTTAAGGTTTTTAATTTTACCAGGAGTTAAGTTATAATAAAAACATTATTATACGTTAATTTTTTATTTTAACACTTATTTACAATTAATATTTATAACAATATTAACAATAAATAATGCTGCTACCGTTAAATAATTTGGCAAGACGGTTATAGTAAAATTCGTTAAACTTATTATTTTTAAGATTTATTTTTTTAAATCACCCATTTTAAAATCTTCGGAAAAGTACAAAAAACCAACCCATAAATATTAATTCTTTAATAATATTAAATTTACTACCTGGAAATTTTTTCCAAAAATTATAATTCGAAATTATTAATTTAACCAATTTATCTCCTTTTTTTAACAATCTTAAAAAACGTTAATAAAAAGTTAAATTTAAAGGTTAAATAATAAAATAATATTAAAAATAATATTAAAAAATAAAAAAAGTTAAAAAAACAATTATATATAAATTAATAAATATTATATTTTTATACGTTAATATTAAAAAAATTAAATAATATTAATTTATTTAAAACTTATATATAATAATAATAAATAATAATATTTTTATATATATATAAAATTTAAATTTAAAGTTATAAATTATTTTTTCCAATCTTTTTTTTATTTTTTTTATTAAAAGTTTTATTTTTTTATTAACTTATTAAAAACTTTATCCTTTTATTAATTTATTAAAGGTTTTATCTTTTTATTAACTTATTAAAAATTTTATTTTTTATTAAAAATACGTATTATTTAAAATTTTTAAATTAAAATTAATTTAATATTAATCATACAATTAAAACTTTAACCTTATTATTTAATTTATTATAATACTTAAAACCTATAACTAAAAGGCATTAATGGGTGCACAAACAAATTGCTTAATTAAGAAATATCCTTAACTTGGCCTGCTATAATAACCCTTTTAAAAGTCGGGCATTAACATAAATCAAGAATTATGTACAAGTTTAAGTCCAAATTTAATTAATATTCACAAAGCTACCTGTATCAAAGCTTAAAGCTACTACTCGACGCAGCCTTTGCTGCCTTTGCCTTATTACCTTCCATATCCACAATCTCGCCCTTCTTATTGATAACTTTAACACCGCCCAGCTTGAGATCACCAAGAGTCTGCTTCTGTGCCTGAGCCTTCGCGCTCTTAGGTTTCTTATCTTCAAGACCGCCAGCCTTCCGTATCCTCTCCTTCTCTCTCCTGCGTCTTCTAACCTTGTCCTCTCTACTCATCTCTTCCTTAGCAACAGGTAGACCGCTCTTGGCAACCACCTCACCCTTTTCAGCAGTGTCCTTGCCAGCCTTATAGATTTCTTGCGGGGCCAGAGTATGGTCACCACCGCTAACACCCTGGGAGGTCGTGGGTTGAGCGTCTTCCATGCTAATCGTTGCCACATCCGATACGACTGTGAGTGAGGGTGCGGCGGGCTTAGGTTTGTAGTGCCAGCTAGTGAGAGCATCAAGGCTCGCGCTAACTTCCTTCCACATCTGCTCAATTTCCTTCTCTTCTTTTCCAAGTTTCTCGTCAGCCTTGCTCACGTAAGAATCTGGATTTGTGTTCTTGACGTGCTCCTCCTCGTACATCTCCGCAAGTGACTGCTTAGCTTTGGTGTCGTCTAGATCGACAAGTCCTCGTCTAGTATTGGACGAGAACTCGGAGGCGTCGGGACGTCGTTTAACAACTTCGTCAAATTCTTGGGCTAGAATACGACGTTTAATCATATCCTCGATACTCTCGCTCACTTCAGCCGTAATGACCGGTACAGGCTTGCCCACGTGCTCAAAGTCGAGATCCTCCCCTAATAGAGAGTTCATCGGCCTATCAATAGCTTTAGCTTCTCCAGACATTGCCCATTGCCTCTTAGCCACATTTGCAGCTTCAAGCTGCCGAATCTCTTCTGCTAGTTTGGCTTGCCGCCTTTCGTGCGCCGATTTCCTGGATTTGGGGTCGCCCGCAGAAGCGTCAGACAGAGCATCTTCCGAGTCTTCTCTCTCTGATTCGTCTTCGAACAAATCTCGCCGGACATCAGCCATTGCGCGGTCAACATCGTTGTCGTCTGGTTTCGTGGGCCGGGGCTCTCTGAACTGCTTGGCTTTGCTGTTTTTAGCCCCCTTCCGCTGCGGGGGGGCGAAGAAATCTTTATAATAGATCTCGTTAGCGTTGGAATCATCTTCACCATCCATTTCGTCGCCTTCTTCTTCTTCGCTCTCTCCTTCTGGCGCATCTAGATCCATGTTACCGAAGGTGGGTCCTCCATCTTCCTCGTCGTCTTCGATATCGGAAAGCATCTCGTCATCAACGTCATCAGTAGGTTTCTTGGACGCCTTTCCGTTACTGGATGGCTTTATAGAGCGTGGGTCGGCGTGCCAATCTACTTCATCGTCGTCACTTGCATGATCAACATCCGGGTCTCCTCGGGCATCCGCATCCTCAAACAACTGGGTCTGTTTGTTGAAGTCGTCGATAGAAAAGAAACCATCGTTGAGACCATTGGGATCTTCAACCAGCTCCTGTGAGGCCTCTTCAGGCTCATCTTCGTCGTCGATCTCATCTTCTTCCTCATCGATGTCCTCTAGACCTCCCTCTATATCATTCTCTGATAATTCGGCATCATCCTCGAGGTCTTCCTCATCTATCTCCTCGTCATCCTCGGCATCCTCGGCATTTTCTATAAGTCCTTCCGAATCATCCATCTCCGAGGCAGACTCGTAGTCAGCCGAATCATCGTCGGAGACATCCACAGCCGGTTGGTCGATATCGATATGCGCATCTCCGTTAATGCCGTTCACCTGGATTTCCTTCTGGTCTTCTAATTCTTGGAGTGCACTTTTCGAATCCTGTAGTGCGCTTGTGATAATTCTTCTCGCCTGTTGCCAAACTTGACCACTTTCGAACCCATCAACATGAAGCTTCCTGATCTTTAGTATTTCGCCTTTGCCTAGCCCGTTCTCAGCTCGTTTCCGCTTCTTGCTCTCTTCCCTTTGGCGCTGTTGTTGTTCGTCGCATATTTGTCCAGCATATGCATCGAGCGTGGCCTTCGCAAGCTGCAACGAAGCATTTGGGATTGCAGAGGCTGGCTGTAGGAAGCTGTGCCGGTTGCCGGACTTGATAGCCTCGAAAAGTTCTAGCATCTCTACGGCGCTAGATGGTTTTGAGGAGTCGACGAAAGAAGATAGAAATCCTACTGATGGTGCATGTGTTAAAGTATGTGAAGTTGAGGTCATGGAAGACGTGGTGCTAGCAGGCCCCGCCATTGCTTGTTACTCCAGCGAGGAGGGGAGGAGGGGAGGATGAATATAAACACTGGACTTTTCTTAATCAATGGTTCGGCGAATCGAGAAAAATTGACCGGTTTAGAAAAACTTTCCTAGTTCTTAACTTCTTAGGATGAAGCAAGGACCCCACAGGGTTCGATGCTTATCGATAAAGAATAAGTTAACGGGTCGGTCCACAATTTACCTAAGTCTCGGACCCTCTGACGGAGTACCTCTCTCTTAGTTGTACCTTGAAATATTTAGCCTTATCTTCTAGATCTAATGATGTGCATAGCAACCCGGCCACCATGAACGGTGTAATAGAGGCGCTGCACATCTACGATGAGCATAAGTTAGTCCCCTCCCTCTTATCCCTCTTAGAATATTATATTTTAAACTCCTTTCCAACTGCAACTGACAATAACCGTATAGTCGTGCGATACTCTCCCATACCTATACATCACGCCCTCTTTCGGCCGCCGTCCTTCTTCCCCTGTATCTCGAACATCCGGCTCCGAGACCCAACTTAATATACCTACCAAATACCAACCCTCCGACCCTTGTATTTAGTCTTATACATGCAAATATACTTTACTTGGCAACCTCTTCTTCTGAGATAGAGCCTCTTCTCGTCCTCGAGTTCCTCCATCGCATAATCGACGCTCTTGAAGAGTTCCTCGGCGCGCCGGTCCTAGCGCATAAGATCGAAGCGAATTACGATGTCGTTGCTCAACTTCTTACCGAGATGTGCGATGCCGGCACTGTTAACACCACAGAACCGAACGCATTGAGGGATGTGGTCGAAGTAGAAGGTCTACTAGGGAAGCTATTAGGTAGCATTAATATACCTGGCAAATCCCCTAGTAACTCAAACACACCGTCCCTTATAGCTCAAACTACGCCGGCTCTCCCCTGGAGGCGAGCAAATGTGCGACATACATCAAATGAGCTCTACGCCGATATTGTGGAGACGTTGTCTGTCACTCTTGCACCATCTGGTAGGCCAATCGCTGCATATGCGAATGGTACTATTGCATTTACGTCTAAGGTATCTGGAGTCCCGGATATCCTCATAAATATCACTGGGCCCTCGGGAAAGCATAACCTAAACAGCGTTATGGAATTGCCAGTATTCCACCCATGTGTACGATTAAACAGATGGAAGGAGAATCCAGGAGAACTCAGCTTCATACCCCCGGATGGACGCTTCATCCTTGCAGGCTATGAAGTGGATTTACTACCTTTCACCAACGGAAAGAGCGGGAACTTGAGTTCGAACAGCCTAAGACTTCCAGTAAATATTGAGGTTAAAACAGGGTTGGGATCAACCGGCTCAGACTTCGAAGTTCGGCTTAATATCAACAAGAACTTTGGACCTTCTAGTTCTTCAATATCAGGGTCATCTGGTAGAGGTGGCGGCTCAGGTAGCAGAGGATTCGGGGGACCACACCCAGGCTCGGCCGGCGCGCCACTATTGCAAGACCTTATCGTCTCAGTGCCGCTACCTTCCGAAGTTAGGAACCTTTCAGATATTCGACCGAGTAAAGGAGACGCTAGTTTTAGTGCAGGAGATAGGGTATTGGAATGGCATATACCCACAAAGGAACTTTCCACCGGGACATCTTACTATGGCCTTCGATGCTCAGTCCAGGGTCCTCTAGCTGAAGGTCAAGAAGATACTGATCCTAATGGGTTCGGTTTCGGCAAGGACTATACTTACGACGAGCCATATCAAAGCAATGCCAACGAGAAGCCCAAAGTTGGCGAAGCAAGCTCGGACAGTGAGAAGGACGCAAAAAGAATTGCCCAGAACAAGATCCTTATGCCGAGCTCTGCGTCTGTTAGCTTCTCTGTCAAGGGGTGGCTATCAAGTGGAATCAAGGTCGAGAGCATCCTCATTGACCCGAGAAAGAGTCGAGGTATCGGCGAAGGAATAAAACCGTATAAGGGTGTGAAGTATCTTACTATCAGCAAGGGGGGAGTTGAGACCAGATGTTAAAAGGTACGTAGGGCATATTTACGGTTACATCTGGAGTTGCACTATCCAGTAGTGCTCCAGTACATGTAATGCGTTGCATGCATGCATGATCGGCGTTTTGGTGTGCATGCTGAGGACATGGAGCTATAAGATATCACTACGCATAGATCAGCAGCGTCAAGCTAGGTACTATTGAATGATTATATCCGTTCCCTCAAGATCAAACCGGGTTCGGACTTTAGTAAAACTCCAAGTAAGTGAAGAACGAACAAGCATCACAAAGACTACTGTGTCGCCGAAGTATTTAATGAAATCGTTTTAACGGATACCTTCGGATGTATATACATCTAATAGAGCCTACCTGTAGAGACATGGTACATGTACTGAGCTAGACCTGGGGAAGAATGTGGGGGGAGACCTTGGCAATTGCGGGCAGCTTAGCATCTGTCGAACATGGGCCGAGGTAGCTGTAGGTACCTAAGGTACCTAAGGTATGTACCTCAATACCTCAACAACTACATGTAGAGTCATCAATCCAAGCTTCGACTTTACAGCTTCTGAACTTTTGCTCCTTTAACCCGAATCTCCTTTCGCACCAATTACTATTTTATCTTCTTGCTCAACGGCTTAGCCAAGGTTCACATTCGATGACCGTGAGAATTGATCACCGCAGCGCAAACGTAACTGGCCTGCGGTGATGAGTGTGCTCATTTCCCCGTTGCGCCGGCCCATCCGCGCCGCGGGTAGGGTATGTCGCCGGCTCAGCTCAACCGACTTTCTCAGTGCGGCGGTATACTCCATGGGTCCAATTGGCCGTCGAAATTACGTATCAACAAAAGGGAAGAGACCGCGGACTGCTATCTTCTTTCCAGGTTAGGATTCCAATGATTCCAATGAAACCCCTCAAGAACTAAACTAATTAACTCTACCGTTATTATAGGCCAAGGAGTCCAGAAAGTCGGAATGCTTACGCCCTGGATCGAAGCCTTCCCAGCTAGAGCCGCGCAAATAATTGATGAGATAGATAGTTATATGGGATACAAGCTGTCCGACATAATACAAAATGGCCCAAGCCGAGTACTAACCGCAACGCCCAACGCCCAGCCGGCGATCATGGCAACCTCCATCCTCATTCTCCGCATCCTCGAGAACGAATTCAACTTTGATATATCCAAGCGAGTAGATGTATCGCTCGGGCATTCACTGGGCGAATTCGCAGCTTTAGTAGCAGGTGGTGTATTAGAATTCGAGGACGCTTTATATATGGTGCGCAAACGCGCGGAGGCTATGGCGGAGGCTACCCAGAAGGCCAAAGAAAAATACGGAGGAGAATATGGCATGGTAGCCGTCGTTACGGAGCCCGAGTATTTAACGCAACTGATCGAGGCTATAGACGACTTCGTGGGATACCGCAGTGCTGGCGCGAGGAGTGAGAGCGCCGACTCCATGAAGCCTATCGACCAAGTGCTTATCGCAAATATCAACAGCAAGAATCAGATTGTGCTGAGTGGGAATATACAAAGGATCAAGGAACTGACAGCTCATGTCCGACAATTCCTTGGCCACGACCCTAGAGCGGTTCGATTACATAGCGACAGTCCATTCCACAGTCCAATCGTGAGACCGGCAGTCAACGTGATGCGAGAACTAGTCTCGAGGAAGAGTAGAGTAAAGGGCCGCGAAGACAAGGATGTCATCACGTTTCCGGGCCGACTTCAATGTGTAAGCAACGTGAGTGCGCGGCCATTCGAAGACGCCGCGGATGTGAAAGACCTACTGGCGCGACAATGTCTCGAAACTGTCAGATGGTGGGACAGCATCAAGTATCTGGATCAAGAGCAGAAGGTTAGAAGGTGGATTGGTATTGGGCCTGGAAAAGTTGGTAGGAATCTTGTAGGAAAGGAGGTGGGCATGCGCGGGATGGACTCGGTTAAAGGGGGCGGCGTCTGGGCCATCACCGACCCAGTCGAGATCGAGGATGTCTTGAAAGGATTGGAAGAGACTGAGTCAGTACAAGAGGAGGAAGAGGAGGAGTAGTGACGTCTACATGATACTACGTGGGACAAGATGCCAAAAAAAGAAAAAAACATGGTGTCTTATAGACGATGTTCTATGATAGGAGGAGGTGGTATTAGATCTCTCAAGGTTCATCGAGCCTTTTAAAATAACTATGTGCTATTACATTGTAGGTACCTAGATATCATGCTAGATAAGGATACGTACAGGCGTCTTTAAGATGATAGATACTACTCGAATAATAAACATTTGCATTTATATCTCTGTTATATTTAGTGGTTATACCCCTGAAGATACATAGATGTTATGTCCCCCTTTGATTCACTGAAGACGAAATAGTGGGGCAGCCTCAAGCTCACTATCGATAGCTCAACTTCACCAAACCCAAGCACTCAATTATCTTTACATCTTTCCATCTTCCCAATCCCAACGCATACGCATACACAGCAGCGCAAACCCGGCAGCACATGTAGCGATGGCGACCGCAATACCCTCTATAGCCTGCCTAGGTGTCATAGGGCGAAATGTACGTTCCTTTATCATTTTCCCCCCTACCTCCCCTACCTCCCCTCTATCCTAACCTACCTATACGCGCAACCTCACTCACCCGTTTATTTCCACTCCGCGAAACCACCCAAACCACTCCGACCACCACACCACCGCTCCTCGCTAACATGAAAACGCAACTAGAACAACCCCCTCCACATAACCATATTCCCCTCCTACGACCCCGCGAGCAACACCCGCGCCCCCCTGCGCACGCCCCTGCAATTCTCCCTCCTCCTCAGCAGCACCCTCGACATCTTCGAAACGCGCGCCCGCCGCGCCGGCACCGCGCCCACAGCCGGCGCCACCGCCACCGCCACTACTGCCACGACCACCACGACCCCCATTCTCAGCGGCGATTTCGGCCTCCTGCATGCCGTGGACGAGCGCCTGGCCGCGTACGGCTTCGAGACGAACACGGGCGTCAAGTTCGTCGCCGTAGTCGATATGCGGGGCCGCGTGGCCGGAGGAGGGGGAGGGGCTGGGTCCGCGGGGATTATTAGAGGCGGTGTTGGTCTTAGGGAGACGGAGCTGCGCGTTGTGTTTCGCGCTATGCAGACTGCGTATGTCCGGCTGCTGCAGAATCCGTTCTACGACCCTGACGAGCACGCGCCGCTGGTGTTGCCGCCGGGGGGCGGCGTGGGGGGGAAGAGGATTACGAGCCGTAAGTTTGCCGAGGAGATGAGGCGGATTGGGGAGGGGTGGGTGCCGGGATTGACGAATTTGTAGTTGGGTGGAGGGGTATAGGGAAGAAAGGGAAAGATGAAGGGTGAGTTTGGGTTTAGGAGAGAGTGGTTGTTCGAATGCGCATGCATGTATAGTGGCGTTATGGGCTGGCATAGAGCATGGAGTCTAGGTGTTCGTGATGGAATGATATTTGATATTTCGTTTATACGGTGGTACTTGGGCATTTATGTACGTGCTCTATCTAGACATGATATGTACAATTCTATGGATTAGATCCTTACTCCTGGTCGCGACTTTTCGCTTGGCCCTCCCCCGAGAAGGTCTTCTTTAAATATTCGAGGCGTAGCCGTTGTAGACCTGCAGGTTCTTCGAGCTCTACTGACGGTCCCATGCTAGCATCATCCCCTCGGACAATCGGCGAGGCTGACCACGGCCGCGGTTTAGAAACTGGCGAACCTTCCCAATGCCGTGCTTCTGGAGGAAGTGGTTGCCACCAGTTGTCCCCTGTGCGGCTATGCCATTGAGCTCCGCAAAGTTCCCAGAGCCGACTCGTGGCTCGCTTGTAGGCGAATCGTTCATCCTCTCCAGTAAACGCACTGGTGTTACTGAAGTCTACTTTGGACTTTTGTTCTACACCAAAGTCGGAATCCTGATCCGGATCATAATCCGTATTTCTCGAGTCGGTGTATGACGAGATGTTCGGCCTGAAGGGCGACATTGTATCCTGGTAAACCTCGGCAACCGTCTCGGAGTGTATTACGTCTCCGTCAATACTCTCGCCTCTTTTAGGAGCATCCCGTTTCACGGGTGAGGGAACAACCTTCGCTTCCGGGAAGAATAGATCATCGGGAGCGGCTTCGGCACGGATAACTAATTTACACTTGGCTTCATATAATGCGTCCAATAATGTAATGAGTCTTCTTGCCTCGTTCTTTTTAAGAATCGTTAAGATAGGCACGCCATCGATGATGAAAGTATGAAAAGTTGAGGCCATTGTAATATAGTCGGCTGGTCCGAAGGAGGAGACGAGGTCCTTAAAGTCCCATAAAACAGATCCGCCGTAATGCTGAGGAATAGTGATAGCCCGGCCATAAACGGTCACTGTTAAGGACTCCCAAGGTATTTCGTGCTTTTCAGGTGGCAAAATCAAGCTGTTTAATGTTTCCACCCATAAAGCTTCATCCGTCTCACCTATGAGGAAATAATTCCTTGGTGTTGTAATGGATAGACTTGATTCGCCTGTCTCTTGAGTCTTCGTATCAGAAGAAAGCACTGTCGCGGAAGTTATTACTGACTCGTCAGATATATAATTCTCAATAGGGGTCTTAACACGTTGGCTCAGCAACTCGCTAGCTTCACGGCGCCTCCAGTCTTTACCTCCTTCCATTTGCCAGAATTCACATCTTGCTTTCAAAACTTCAAGAAATGATGCAAAATCACTAGTAGAGCCGAATAGTTCTCCTTTTCCACGCGTCTGTCTTAACCCCAAGACTTGACCTATGAGACTGCCAGTCGTTGGAGGAACATATTCGACTCCGGTAGCTTTTTCCAGCTCGTCTGGCATACGATTGGACGAAGCAACGAGGACGCCGCCTAGTTGAAAGAATGCAATGAATAGATTGCTTAGGATTTTGCTTGCCGCTCTATCTGGGAGTTGAAACTCATCCAGGAAGAGAATTGGCGATTTCTCAACCATATCCTTAGCCATCCAGAGTAACGAATATTCTTGATCACCGCGGTCTAGATGTGAATGTGACTTCCGATAACGCTCAAGCTGAGACAGCGTATACAGCATGAAAGTATTAAAATGCCATCGTCTTTTGCGACTCGTAGGCAACCCGTCAGCCAGGAGGTCAAGCAGCATTGACTTGCCAGTGCCAACTTCACCTGATAGGAATAAGCCTTGCGGCGAATCTATTTGAATCGCCTCTTCGTGGCTCGTGAGAACTTTTATAAGAGCTAGAGTATCCTTACTCTCATCGCGAGCGAAGAACCGAGAAAAAAGGGGGTTGCGCCAGATAGGATGGCTCTCGACTGCGAGAGTGCGCGATGGGTCTTTATCTTCCTTTCTAGCGCTGTCCAGGGCACTGGTAATGGCTTTTAATCTAACACGGTACTCATGTGATGGTGAATAATCTTTGAGCCGATGATAGACTTTTTGAAGATGGATCGCTAACCGATACTGAGCAGCATCGGGAGAACAGATCCCAGTCGCTAGTAGTGACTGATACTTCACCAGGGGATCTGTAATCGTAACTGAACTGATGCTTCGTCTCATCTTGAGTTCTTGTATAGCACTAGTATCCCTTTCAGATGATATGCGCGATTTGTAGCCTAAGCTGATATAATTGCTAGGGGTAGCTCCCCGAGATTACCTGGCTACCATGGAGGAACTAGGAATTACACGTAAGAAGTGCAAAGTCCAATCCCCCAGTAGAGTATAGCATCAGTGCTAAACATCTAATGGAGCTATCCACGTTGCTAGATTTTTCAATATCTTCTAGTAAATAGGGAGGTGGTGAACATGAACATTTCGAGAGGACAAACTTGAAATATTCACTTTCCTAAAGAGGCAAATGAAGAAATAGTAGGGACAACCAATCTTTGTTATTCTTGATATATTCGTGAGTGTCTTGGAATGTTATAAATCAATCGTCATAATGAAATGACTTTACGTTGAGAGGAGTTGTATGAAGTTAGATTACGGAACAATACGGAATAAGTTAGAAATATGTCGAGGATTGAGGTTGTCGTTAAAGTCGAGGCTCAAACATTAGGTTAGAACATTAGGTTAGAGGTTGCCCCGGATTTGTTAAGTCCTTGCGATTGGTTGCTTGGTCCGTGCTAAGCTGCCAGCGCACGAGCCACATGACGGTTGCAAAGCATTTGATCCGTCCCGGCTCGTCCACAAGCGGCGAGCACAGGGGTCTTGAAGGTTCTAAAACGGTCTAGCTTCAGCCGCGCCTGCGAAAGTTACTGGTAAATGCCAGAGCAACGTAGCTCCAGCTAGGTAACCCAATTTCTAGTGAGGTAGGTATGTGTTTTTTTTTTTCCTCCCCGTCCCTACAGGTACCCAGCCAAGGTGAAGCAGCGGCCCAATCAATCGTAGCCAAACATTTGTCGGCCTCGTCATTCTTTCGCGAAACGAAGGCCTTCACCATTCAATCATCATCTTTTTTTTTACACCTTCACACCTCACACCTTCTCCAACATTTTATCCACGCCCACGCCCACGACTTCTTCCGCCTCCTTTTCGTCTCCTCACGATGAGCACGTATTTTCTACATCAATCGATCCATCGATAATAACGGTTTTCATCGCTAAAAGTATTCGATTGCATCCTTGTTTCGATCCTGTTGCTCATCCTAAGGACTCATACTGCAGAATTGTTACATCATGTTTTCGGCTACTGTCAACGGCGCTGAAAATCCGTCGCCTGCCGTAACGGCAACCCGTGGCCGACGACGTCAACGACCCGTGAGCTCAGATAACTCGGTGCAGCAACCTAAAGCGAAGCGACCGAGAATACCATTGAACGATCAAACCTTCGCGAATCCCATTGCTACTCCTGAGACGTACGAAGTCAAGTCCGCGAAGCCTTCGATAGTCGAATTGAAGCAAGATGGAATTGAGGAATCGCCTGCACCGAAGCAGGAACTCAGTTTTCGATCGAAGAAAGTTCGGCCAGGCGAGCGTCTTAGCAAGGGGGATGGTAGTACGCTTTTAGTAAGTTTAGTATCAAAGAGCTCCCGGCGACCTTGAGTTTAAATGGCTGACACGTCAACCTATAGTCAACTAATATCGCGTTTGATGTCCGAAAACTCCCGGCTCTACCTGATCGATTAAAGTTGGACACTGGTAGTATGTTACTTCACCGCTCGTCGATTCGTTGACTGTTTATATCACTAACTCTATCGCGTAGGTCGTCAGCATGGTTCCGTCGACAGCTCCACAGGATATGCCCTAAGCATTTCCCATACTCATGCCATCGTATGGCCATATGCGACACCCGCTCAGTCTCCTGAATCCTTTACCTTTGCGTTACCGTATCCCTCGAAGTCCTCGAGCGATCTTTTACCCCTGGGCGAGCTCGTCCCTCCGTCTGCTTCCTCTTCCGAGCCGGGTTTAGTAGTAGTAATGCCTACTAATGGTAAGGTGACCTACTGGGAATCGATATCAAGCGCGACGACACTGGATTTCATGCGCCAACAGCAAAATGGCGTTGAAGGTTCTATCACAGGAATGTTTTCTGGAGAGGCTGTCATTCAGATCACCCATGCCGAATCCGCGGCTGGTTTCATCCTCGCATTTAGTAGTGGACGCCTGGCATACTTGAGCGTCCGAGACACGCATGGCCGCCCGAAAATCTCGACACAGTTCTTGCGCACCAACCTTGGCCCTGCTAACAGCGGGTTCTTTGGAAGTCTCCGACATGCGCTGTCACAGACTGCTTCTCAGGGAGATATCGCTGCCGTCCGTTCAGAAAAGTCATCCAAGCAAGGCGAGTGTACTGTCGTCGCTGTTACGTCGAAAGGTCGCCTGCATTCTTGGAGGGTGCACCGGGGAGGCCACCATGACCTTCTGGTCGAGGTAGATGCTCGCAATACCATCCTCGGAGCTCTCCAGCAGATGGACAGCGTAAGCGCCAAGTTACCTGCGGAGTCGCTAAAGATACTTGACTTCTGCTTCGTACCCAGGGGCCTAGAGCAAAAATATAGAGAGATGAGTCAGCTTCGTGAACCCTCTGAGTCTGAGGACCAGCAACACTTGGTACTCCTTGTTTCGTTGTCTAACAAGCAAGGATGGCGTTATACGCTGATTGAAGTCGTATTGTATTCTGGGCTTTCATCAGAAAACCCCATTGACGTTGGCATGGTTCGACCGATATCTACTTACTCTACTGCACCAGATTCCCAGGCTCTTGCTAAACCTCGACTCTATCTCCCTCGGCCAAATATCATTGCTTTTCTTGTCTTCGACCACGCTGCCGTGATAGCCTCAATTGCCCAGCCCCCCGACTCCCCCGATTCACAAATACTCGAGGACAACCATATCATACCTGCATCTTTCGAGGATGTCGTCGATCTGCGTACGGACCCCACACTCGAAATTGTCGGCTCTGGAACCGAAGAGCCCAGGACCCAAGGTTTCAGTTCTGGTGAAGGGAGAGCGCCTCGTATCAGGCCTAAAAATCCCGCCGCTATACTCTTGGTTCGAGGTGCAGGTGCTCTCCGTATTGCATTAACAGATGTTGAACGATTTGCAAGTGAGAAGCCTCCGGAGGTTACAGCCAAAGCGAAGCTCGAACAGGCCGTATTTTTCGGTGTTAGGGAGGATAACCCCCTCGTATTCGATAGACAGCACGGCCTTCGTTTCACCGATGCGGAATATGGTGCTGCTGCTCTGGAGTTGAGCCGAGAAATTCTCACATCTGCCGGCAAACACTTTTCAACTCTAGCCGCACGGGTCGATACTAACATCAAGGAGCGTGTGCAGTACTTGGAGAAGATAATGACACAGATCGCAAGCCTTAAAGTGAACCTCGATCGTGTTACCAAATGGCAGTTACTTTGGAACGCGGAAAAACTACATGTTGCTAACGTCATCTGGCACAAGCACGAAGAGTTCACCACTCAGCGATCTGCAACTTCTAAAAAGAGCATCGTTGCCGAAATCGTCGAGTACATCCGATCCGAGGAAAAGTCTGAACCGAACGTCGCGAAAGGGGAAGTCGATGAGCTGCGTCACTGGTTCATTCGCGATGTTGATCGCATGCAAATATTCATCGCTTGGGCTTACGAAGTTATAAAACACAATTCTAAGGCCAACCTAGATCAGGCATCTCTAACGCGGTTGATATACGAAGCTGCAGAGATTTACAATAGCGCAATACGAGATGCCTTCACATTCCGCACGAGGAACCTTCAACTCTATGGTCTGGCCGGCGAGAAAATGGACCACGGGATTTTAGCTAGCGATTATGTTGGGCTCCCGACTCCCTGGACTTGCCACCCTTTCATTGCCAACAATGTAAAGAGGCAAGTGGAACTGTCTACTGAGTGGGTTAAGCAACACTGGTCAGCAGATTCCGAAGGGCAAAGCGCCATGGTTCAGAAGACTCGCGAGCTTTTACCAGAAATGACTGAAGTCTACTTAACTGTCGTTCAAGAATTATCTCGATCATACCTCGCCAGCGACGATCCAAAGAAGGCTGCGGACGGTCAGAAGTACGCGAGCATCTATGAGCAAGACCGCCATGACAAGGTCGTCCTTCTTGCTCAGACTGAAAACTGGGAAGCTGGAATCAGGATTGCCGAGAACCATGATTCTCTTCCTGCACTCGCGGAGATTCTCACTCGTGAAATCGACGGACTTCGACACCAACTTGAGACACCTGGCCTGTCTCCTGAGCGTCTCGAAAGTTTGGAAGCCAAGATGACTGCGAAAGAAGAGCAAGTGCGTGAGTACTTCATAACATATGGCAAAGACTTTGCCTTCCCATTCTACGAATACCTATTCACTACGTTCGGAGTTGATGCCCTGCTCGAGTATGATGGGGATAAGAAGTTCAAAACGATGTATCTTCGGACCAAACCAGAATTGGCCAAAGTTTCCTGGATTAACGACATTATCAGCGAAGAGGACATTGACCATGCCGCCGACACGCTTCTCGACCTTGGCCTGGCGCGCGAGCAGCAGGTCTGGAACAAGAAGATCGAGTTAAGTTTAGGCAAGCTAGCTAGGATGGCCGAATCATCCCGGCCGTCTAGCAAAGCATCTATGAGCATACAAGATGCGAGTGTCAACGGGACAGCTGAGGATGCTCAGGTGGACGCCATCGATAAAGAACTTGCCATCATTGGTGTTCAGGACGACCTATACAACACTCAAATCCGCCCAGTGATCAGCTTGGCGCTCGAAGGGGAAGAGTTAAGCGTTGTACAAGAAACATTCGCGCTCAAGATACCCAAGAAGTATAAGATACTCTCGCAAATATTTGACGACGCATTACGACGGCTCTTGAACCACGAGGCTCTGGACCCACTCACGCTCATTGACCTGCTTACATTAATCACTCTACCACAGGAGACGCGGGAACACATGCCGGACCAGTTTTTCTCGGCTCTCAGCGTAGCTTATAACGGCCTCACTGGCGCAGAGCGTGTACAAGCCGAGCGGCTCATATGGCGCAGATGTTTCCTAAGAGAAGACTGGACGCGACTCAACAACACTACACTCAAGAAAGACAATGATATCGTAGAGGTCCTTGGTCAGACAGACCTCTTCCAGTTCTACTGTACACTATATGCGAATCGTAAGTCAAAACGAACATGATGCTCGGTAGTAGCAGTACTAATGAAGAAAACAGAGCAAAGTGGCGGGGACAAAAACGATTACCGGCGGCTGTCTCCATCAGAGGTCGCTGGGGTGTATACGGAAAATCTTGACCGTCGATTTGAGAAAATGGAGAAAAACTATCGTGAGAAGGTACTGGAGGCGATGAGGTGGGAGGATAACAACCTGCTTAAGCATATCGAAAAGCACCGGTTGGAGCAATGGGCCAAGGAAACGCGGAAATATGCCGAGGAAGCCGTCAACCAGCAGTATGACGAAACTACTGCCGCTGGAGCAGCGTTAAGCCCGCCCAGATCGGGGTCTGCACGAAGGCAAACCAAGGCGTCCGACAGCATGAATGGCAAAAACGGCACACACTAGAAGTATTCATCATTAGGACCGCGAGTCCCGCAAGTCCCGCGAAAAGTTTAATGCACAGGAGCGTCGGAGTTATTTGAAATTTTCATTTCTTGTACCATACTGCATATGCTCGTTTGTTTATATAATTGCCGTGAGGCACGGGCAAAGGGAAAAGTTGACGAGAATAAAGGGGGATCATCATCCACGGCTAGGCTTCCTCCACGCAAGAACACGATACCGAGGCTTTTATGTAGCGTATACAGGGTAGCTTCGCTAACTCTCGCTTAAGCCGATATTCCTTTCTGTTTTGTTGTAATTTGTGTTGAGCGCTGCTCGTCATTCATATGACAATCATGGTTTTAGTCTTATGGTGACAATTCGTTACTTGAAATAGCAACTCGAGTATGTTGGATGCCCGTAATATCAAGAAGCGATAGTTTCTTAGTTTAACTAGGTATTTTAAGCTATGCTTATCAGAAGCTTCTAACATTCAAAACGAATAACTACCCTTCCCTTCTATATGGTTTCATTTTTTCTTGCTTTAGGTACCTAGGCTTACACTTCACTCCGAGCTGTAACCTCTCCTATTCCAGTGGCGTAATTATCCCCAGCCTCATCAGCATCAAGTCTATCTAGCGCTCTATCAACCTCCTTGTCCCATTTACTTAACCCGACAATCACCCACTCAAGGATTCCAACTAGGTATAGAGCAACACATTGTCCAACCCATAGGCCTTGAAGACCCCATCCATGGAAAGCAAGGTAGATTCCCGCTGGTAGCGCACCGCCGTAGTAGCTGAGTAGATTAACAAGAGCACCAATCCATTGTCGCCCCATGCCTCGGAGTACACCACCGCAACTCCCGTTCAGCCCATCAGCGATCTGGAACAGGGCGACAAAAGGCATGACGTCTGCGACGAGCCGGACTACGCGGTCATCGTCGTTAAAGATCCTGCCAAAAACATTTCTAGTGCTCATCAGAATGGTGAGTATAACGGCGCCCAGAATCGTAGATAAGATGGCAGCGCAGTGGGCAGCGCGTGCTGCATCGCGGGGCTTCCGTGCTCCTAGGAGGTTACCTATCCGAGCCGAGGCGGCGACGCCTAGACCGAAAGGGATCGTGTTGATGACCTGATCGGCCGTCATGATGACGGACTGTGCGGCGAGCGCGATAGTGCCAAGTCTGCCAGCAGCCAGAGCAACAATCTCAAAAGCCCACCACTCCGTGCCCACGTGAATAACTCCCAAGAAGGCCAGACGTGCGAACGGCCAAAGATTCGAGGCCGCGCGACGGGGAGCAAAGCCACCCCAGCATTCGTGGCCGTGTATGAAGGTTGCGTATGCGACGAGAAGCAGGAACGAAATCCAGTATGATATACCCGTTGCAAGAGGGGCACCGTAGAGGCCCAAACCAAGAGGATAAATGAAGAGGTAGTTGAGCAATGCATTAAGCGGCGACGTGATCAGGAGCACATATGTTCCCGGCCTGTATATCTCCTGCGCCTGTAAATACTTCTTCATCGATTCGAACCACACGTATCCCAGGCCTCCTGGGATTAGAATATGTAGAAACTTGCTCCCTTCGACGCAGATGAATTCTTCCTGTCCAAGGACTCGGAATAAGGGACCGGAAAACCCCCATATTACGGTTACGACGGCGTAGAATGCGGTCAGTACTATGATGCCGCGTTGTAGCAGGATTCCAAGGTCATGCTTGTCTTGAGAGCCGGTGAAGCTCGTCGATGCGAGGGTGTCTAGCGCTGTTGTGCCGCCCATGGCGACTAACCAGCCTGTGGCCATTGCGAACACTACATGTGGGTTTCGCGTGTTAGATACTATATTAGGTACTTTTTAAATACGTTAAGGGGAATGCCGGATTTATGGAATCTACCTCATATTTAAAGATAGGTACCTAAGGTATCTTGATGGTATGAGACGGTTTTAGATTATACTAACTGTAGCAGAAAGCAGCCGTAGCTAATGCTTCTGGAGAGAGACGGCCTACGATCAAGACAGAGATGGTCTGAAGGCTGTTTTGGAGTGTATAAGCCAATATCACGGGGATAGACGCCTTGGTCAAGAGCCATATTTCAGCTAGCCATTGCCGATATTGGGGAGTATTAGTTTGTGCACCAGCCAGAGGCACCTTTGGTAGAAGCGCGGTCGATTCATCGTTGAAAGGTATACTTGAAGGAGACTCTGGAGTTGGCATCGATGACGAGAAATCATCAGCCATTTCGAAGGAGATGTGAGGTGAGAGCTTGAAGAAGCTTGGACAGAACAGTATACGAAACAGAGCGTCTGTGAAATCTCAAACACGGCAAGATAAAGGTAGGAGAATCGTACATACCTAGGTAGGTACATTAGGTACTCTTATCCTTTGTTATGAATGGAAAGTTCCACTTCGATATCTAATTGCCTTTTGGGAATAACCTTCAACTAGCATGGATACCTAGGGATACCTAGGGATACATTCCTTAAGAGGTTAGAAAGACGAAACATCTTGAGGAGCTGTATACTACTATCCCTTTACGTTTTTCGACTTGTCTAGAGGTATTCATATTAGCATGCGGTTTTATTCATATGATCAAAGGCAAAACACAGGTCCTGGATAGCGGCAAGACGTAGATACGTAGATAAGCATGCAGATAGAAGAGCTCATGGAGTCGTGGGATGAAGTGTAAACAACCAATAAGCGAGTATCTACTCGGTAACTTATTGAGTAAATGCCCGTGATATCGAGTTGTACTCGGGACTAGTGCCACAACGAGGGCCGAATGAGATGCCGTGCATATGAGCAGTCAGTGACGGGCAGCGGGCTGCCGTAGAAGACGGCGGATGGTAGTGTAACCGAGATTCCCGATTTGCCAATTCGTCCCGCCAAGAAGAATGGCGAAAGCCGGCGTGGGCCTCTGCTGGGTAGTGTACGATGTAGAGCCCCGTCTCCGCCGTTCTATCATAGGTTACTGGACATGCGGGCATTATCTAAGACCAATTGGTATCAAGGAATGAGTTGGCATTGCATTGATACCGGGAGCCGGCCGTGTTTGGTAGGTATTATAGCACGAAATTGCTAATGGTTATAAGTATGGAGTCCAATGATGCATGATTTCCATGATATGTTAGCAAACGTATCCGTAACCTCGGGGGCTTCAATTACTTACGGGAAAGGTAAGAGATATATAGGCGGTGATGTCACGTATCTTATTATTCTTATTATTCTTATCTACTCTTTTCGAGTTGAGATATCAAATGATAACGGTATCTCTTAGTATAACGCCTTTGACTAAAATCAAGACGTAATGGTAGATTTATAAAAACGTAATCATTATAAAGAGTATTTAATCCCCAAGAAATAATAAAAAGAGGCAGAGTAAAGGGGAGAAGTAGAACTTCTCCCTTGACTAGACTAGACTCACTAGAGAGTATATTAATGTATATTGATGATTATAATTAGTATAATATAGGGAAATTCCCAGGCAAAGCCTAATACTAAGAAACTTTACCCAATCAACAGCATTTCCCGCCATATCCCACCATATCCCACCATATCCCACCATATTACTACAACTCCAGCCAACCCGCCAATAATCGCCATGCCAATGTTAACACCAAGAATCAATAGGCCATTATGCGAATGAAGTAAAATGCAGAAATTATAAAGTATGATCGGGTCGCCCATACACATGGTACCGAGACAGGGGATAGAAGGAGAACGAGTCCCAATACCCCGAGTTACCCCAGATCTATACCGGACTAACCGTAGTTACCTCCGCAATTCGACGGACAATTATAGATCTACTCGGTTGAATTAAGCCAGGATCACCGAACACCAGTTATTAACCGCTAAGCGACGATGTATTTATTAATAGGAATAGGGTCCCATCGCATGGACGGTAGCCTAGCTGACTACCTACATTCGCGTCTCACCCTAGCTGAAGGAGTGAAAAGAGGAGGAAACACACGATGAGGTTCTTCTCGTTGGTGAACGTCCGCTTGGCGTTCCTCGCGTCTGTAGCTTCATCCACGGCGGTGCAGGTCGGCAATTCTACCTATTATAACCCGGTGTTACCAGGCTGGCACTCGGATCCGTCGTGCACGCAGGTCGACGGGACCTTCTTCTGCGTGACGTCTACCTTCGTATCCTTCCCCGGGCTTCCCCTATACGCATCGAAGGACCTGATAAATTGGAAGGTAATCAGCCATGCGTGGAACCGCGAGAGCCAGCTCCCCGGAATCAGTTGGAACACGACTGGCCAGCAGCAGGGCATGTACGCGGCGACCATCCGCCACCACGACGGGCAGTTCTACGTGATATGCGATTATATTGGTACGTCGAAGGGGAGCATTGGCGTAGTCTTCAAGTCGGACGACCCCTTCAGCGACGAAGCTTGGGGCGACCCGGTTACTTTCTCGACAGACAAGATCGATCCGGACCTATTCTGGGACGACGACGGTAAGGCTTATATGGCCACGCAGAGCATCATCCTCCAGGAAATCAATCTTGAAACCGGTGAAGTTAGCCAGCCGCCTATCAGCCTCTGGAATGGAACAGGAGGCGTATGGCCCGAAGGCCCGCATCTGTATAAGAAGGATGGCTGGTATTATTTGATGATCGCCGAGGGTGGTACTGAGACAAACCATTCGATCACGATCGCTCGATCTCGTAATCTGACCGGTCCTTACGAAGCATACGAGAATAATCCTATTCTAACGAACCGCGGCACCGACGAGTACTTCCAGACCGTCGGCCACGGCGACCTATTCCAAGACGCCAGCGGGAATTGGTGGGGTATGGCGCTCGCCACCCGCTCAGGGCCCCAATTCGAGATCTACCCGATGGGTCGGGAAGCGGTGCTCTTCCCGGTGACGTGGGAAGAGGGCGAGTGGCCTGTATTACAGCCGGTTCGGGGTAAGATGACCGGGTGGGCATTACCCCCAACCGACCGCGAAATCCCCGGCGACGGCCCCTTCAACTCCGACCCCGACGCATACGATTTCGAAGAGGGCACGGCGATCCCACGTAACATGGTCTACTGGCGCGTGCCTCGGGACGGCGCATTCTCCGTGACACCCCAAGGCCTGCAAATCGTGCCGAGCCGGAACAACCTAACCGGAACACCCTTCTCCTCGACCACACCCGAGCTCAGCGGCCAGCAGGGCCTTTCCTTCATCGGCCGACGCCAGACCGACACGCTGTTCAGCTTCAGCGTAGACCTAACCTTCGCCCCGCGGCAAGTTGGCCAAGAGGCCGGCGTCACCGTCTTCCTCACGCAGGTCAACCACATCGACCTCGGCGTCGTGCTCCTACCCGAGATCTCGAATCCAACGTGCGAGGAAGCCAAGACAACACAACTGGCACTGCGGTTCCGCGCCGAGGGCACCGGCATGCCCCCCGAGCCGCGAACTGTTGTTGTTCCGGGGGACTGGCTTGATGGGCCTATCAGGCTGCACATCGAGACGGCGAACGCGACGCATTATCGTCTTGCTGCTGCGCCGGCTGCGGATCCGGATGCTAGGATGCTTGTTGGTGCGGCGTCTGCGGGGTTGGTGAGTGGTGGTAATGGCTCTTTTGTTGGCAGCTTGGTTGGTGCGTACGCGACGTGCAATGGAGCTGGTGTTGGGGTGGAGGTGGAGTGTCCGCAGGGCGGGGAGGCTTATTTTACTCGCTGGAGGTATTCTGGCGCGGGTCAGTATGTTTCGGCGACGGAGGTGGTGTAGATAATTTACATATTTATATTAATAGGTAGGTACCTACGGTATATTTATATCTGTCCGGTTGTGCTTCTATTCGTCCTGGATACCTGGTTATAGGACTTATAAGCTCCCTCTCTCTTGTAAGTTCTCTTGACAGAGTGATGTTGCTACGCTCAGAATCCTGTATAGAATCCGTATACACAGAGGATCTCTCGGTCTGCGAACGAAATGATCTGAGAGACTCGACGGGCTGCTGGCGACGTCTTTTAATTAGTCTTGAGAATAGCCCCCTCTTCTGCTGCTGCTGCTTTCCTCCAATGCATGATGAGCATTGGCATGATAGGTATGAAGAGCTCCTATACGAATCCGTATACGAACTCGGGCGGGACGTAGGTACACTGTAAATTTGCCTTGTTCTAAGAATTTCTGATACCATCCCTAGACTCTAGTGGCCGTAAAGCCCACCTGAATAGTCTGTTTCTCTTTAGATATCGCATTGGGCTCGAATGTCTATCGAATGAGCCTCGAGAGTTTCTACGGAAGGCGACATCATCTTGCGAGATAATTAACAACACCGGGTCTTCGGCTATATTATGAGAATGGGGTGAGCTAACGTACTCTTCATATAAACGGTATTATCCTTAATTCCGATGATATTCTCCTTAACGTCTCCGATAGTAATCCTATATGAATATAGAGTAAGTGATACGCTCAATCCACGTTAAGACGACGAGCATACAAGTTGGCAATGTCTAATGCCATGCCCAAAGCAAACCTATGCGTATTAAGACTGTTTTTCAGCCTTTCCAAGCTCTTTTTGCCGGTAGATACCCAACGAAATATTCTTGTGCCAAGTGGAGGATGGTAGTAGGAGAGAATCCCATGGATTTCGTTGATGGTTTTGCCACAACTGGCTACAACATCCGATATCTTGCCTCTTAGATGCTCAGGTGTTCGCTCTAAGAAGTCTTGGTTGAGAAGCTTTATCGTTGCGCTTATTGATTCGAATTCCGATATTATCTCGTTGACATCGGCTTCAGCTGTTCGTATAGGTACCACGCACGCACAAAAGAAGCGGCCACCCCAGAGACCTTGGATATAAGCCCCCCTAGAGTTATGCACGCCATTGAAATAGATAAGGGATCCATTTTAGTTGCACCCGTAGGCACTTAATGGAATATTGTAGCATGATAACACTAGTTATACGGCTAGCGAAGTTGATGATAATCTATTAGTTATATAAACCCATCTCTTCTTCTCCTATCAGGAGAATTTCCCGTTGGGCTCTCTGCGGGGCCTATCTGCCTTGGCCTTCAGACGAAGCTGTCCAAGCTTTAACCAATAGAGAGGTGCGGTTACAATAACAATGCAGGCAAAGTCGCGAGCCATATGAGTGCTAGAAAGAACCTGTGGTTCTCGTGTTCAACACCAACCACCCCGAGAAGCGACATCCAGTGAGAATTTAAATGATACGGGGCTAAAAGAATGCTTCTACCAAGGCAGATCTAAATGATGTAAGGAGAAGCAGCTCAACAACTATAAACTATTGGTTGCTATTTGTCTAAGCCGGTGTCATATCTGTAACGTGGGGGCAAGATAATACCTATGCTAGAGGGTAAGAATTTGGCTTGTTAATACTTACCTAGGTAGTTGGTCACGTCGCTTCTCTGTTGTGCATTCTGATATCTTGATAGGAGGTTTAGGCTCGAAAAACAAATATTATAGATACCCTATTGGTACCCCAATTATTTAACTAGGTACTCGACTAATTCAAACATGATTATTTTTTCTTTTTGTGCATAATCCAAGGCCCTATACACTGGTTGTATTTCTCGCGTAAACGACAAAATTAAGCAACCAAGGTGTATAAAACTCATCCAATGCCTTTAGAACTATTTCGGAATAAAGCTTTCAGCGCCCGCGCAGGACATGGGATTACATCAGGGGACTTGCCCCTGAGAATGCATGTCGATCCGAACGCCAAGCCCGTCTTCCCCGTGTTTATTCATAACTCTGCACCCCTTGGTCATACACTCAATAACCGAACCCCCAAATTTAGCATGCATTACTCGCTCGTAAAGTCGTAGCATACTCCCTACCGGTCCTAGAGAAATAGTGATTGTCGATCCGATCAGCAGCCTATACGCCGATCTGGGACATATTAGGACCGCGAACGGAACCACCGCCGCGCCGGAGCTCTCTTAAGACAAAGAAGAGGCTAGCGGCGAAGGCGGCGAAGAGAAACCATAAGAATACAGTGCTAGCCTGGATCTCACGGCATCGCTTCTCGGTATCTCCTGAACCAAATGCAATATAGTCGCTGGTTTTGTGTCCCTAGCCAAAATAGTTAGTAAACAAGATCGAGATCATGTTGAATTAGATGGATGAGAGCTACATACTATATTGGAGCAGTTCACTGCCTGTAATTTTGCGGAGAAGACAATGGCACCGATGAAGGTGAAGAGAGTCGCGGCGCTATCGAGAGCCAGGGCTACGACGGGGATTGCGATGGCGGCAACGAAGTGCGAAACCAGACCATAGATGATGGCAATCCAGGAGAGGGCGCACACGAACATGATAAAGTTAATAGCGGATTCAGATCCGGTGACGTTGCTTGCGATGACATTGCCGACGAGGGCGGTGGTGAGCAGGACGAGAAGGAACTGCACGATGCGCAGCACGGACTTGATCATGGTCTCCATATTGATGATAGCTCGCTTATATCGCGAGATGGTAAAGTGTTTATTTGGTAACAAAAGCTATAGATGATGGCCGACGACTATATGTAGCGCCTGGGTGGGTATGTTCTGTAGATACCTATCTAAGGTAGCTTGGCCGAGCTGGTTTACTGGTGAAAGTAAACGATGAAGACTTAGATTGTTGCTTGGTGTTTTCTTAGGTTGGTTGTTGTGGCTCTCGCGGGGAATAACGGGGATAGATGGTCCTACGAATGACGGAAGATGGGATTTGGATTCGAGGAGGAATTGTGATTCAATCTGTTGACGAGAGTGTGCTATTGGTCGATATGTAGTTTGAGTCTAAGGTATGGATGGGGTTTGGTTGATGTCGATCAAATGATGCGCATTGATGTTGTTGCTAAAAAGGTTTAGAAACTGGAGAAATATGTATGGAGATGTAAAGATGTAAAGATGTAGAGATGTAGAGATGTAAAGATGTACACTAGAGATGCAGTGAAAGAAAAGGTGACTAGGTGATTCGTGATCGGCAGTTGCGGGATAACAGCTTACCTTCCCTATGTACGTCCCTTAAAAGAATATGCCATAGGTACCTAATGCTGCTTTGCTGGCTCTATCTGTTGCTGTTTCTGAATTCGCAAACTATGACCTCATTGGGTTTTTCCTTACTATTCTAGAAGCAGTGACGTACACAATAACCCGCGGCGCATATGCTAATTCGGCTGTTTTTGAACGCGGACTGATAAGGAGAAAGCTTCAAATGGTTACTCGAGATTTACGGATACAGAACTGGTTATTCTAGCATCAATGATCCTTAAATTATTCGGATGCGGCCTACAATGTTATTATTACCAAGTTTCTTTGACATAAAGACCCTGCACCAAGTCGTACATAGTATCCTTGGACATCAGTGTCGTACTGAATTCCATGGTTGGCCGGGCAGTCAGCCCACGGGCGGGCCAATCATGCCGACATCTCGCAACTCCGCACCATCTGCATCATTCAAGGCTCCGTTCCTGATAAGATCTCATAATTCCGAATGATTGGCTCTTAATGGTTTGTTTCCCCAAGTTTAACACTCTGACCCAGCAACCGCGAGCCGCGCGGGACCTTGCATCTTCTTCATTCCAATCCATTTATAGCTCAGTTAACCTTGGAAATGTTTTATCATTTGCAACATACCCTTCCATATCATGTAAATAAGGTAAGGTATGTACTATATAAGTCCATTCCTATCTCGAAGTATCATTATCACCCGAGCTTTAGCCGATACCACACAAGTTACCTAATGGCCTTCCGCGATGGCAGTGTGGCCTTAAAAAACAACCCAACAAATACCGTATCATTTACTGAGAGGCTTTTCCCTCGTTAGGTTTACTTTCCTATTAATGCACCTAATTAACATGCTTTATTTCACATTCGGCCTAGTTAATCTTTATCTAAACTTCCAATTTACGCGACTTTACAAGTATAAAAAAAAACTGGAGAAACAATCCGATATGATGACCCTCGTTAAAACTCCGGGCATTAAGGGATCCAGACAGGTCGGTACCTAGGTACATCCTTGGGAGTGGGTTGACACCTCGTTGCATCACCATGCATGTACGTACTACGTTAGGTTTTAATTGAACAAAGCTTTTAATTTTTTTTCCCGGTTCCGAGTTCCTGAGCTCACCGTCGTGTCAACCGTCGTGTCATGATATTACGGCTCTTCGAAAGAGCTACGGTTTTGAACAATTTATAATTGGCAACCGTCACGAGGTAGGGGATGCTTATTTTCCTTTCCTTTGTAACGTCCAATCGGATTTTATATTACCTAGCTGCGTCCCGCAGTCTTCCTGGCGGCGTAACCGGATATAGGTCTCACTAACCTTCCGAAGCTTCTCGTCCGAATCCACCGGCGCTATTATCAGATACTTCTTTCTACACTACGTTTACAACCCACTTGCCGTGTCCATGCCCGTGGCTATTCGACGTAAGCATCGTATTTACTAACTTTTAAAAAGAGGTTATATAAAATGCCTCCGGTTTACTCCCGTTTGTTCCAACCAATGTGGGCGCGTGTATTACGACAGACGACACCAAACTTAGAGAGAGCAGCATGGAAGCGCACTTTCGTCTCCGGGTCGCAACAGACTGTCCCATCTGCGATACGACAACCGACTATATTTAGTTTTCTATCCAAATCTTCCAAATCTTCCAAATCACCGTTACGCTCGACCCGGCGATCATTTCACCGAACTTCCCGCTTACGAGACGCAAAACCTTCCCCGAAAGATGCTCCAGCTCAAGAACCGCAGGGGATCACAGCAAGGCTAAAGAAGCTATCGAGAGAATATGGATGGGCCGCCTTGGGAGTTTATCTAGGCTTAACTGTTCTAGATTTTCCGTTCTGCTTCCTACTAGTGCGGTCGGTAGGGACGGATAGAATAGGTCCGTGTTAATAGTACTGAGAGAAGGGGGATATCACTGACAGAGCCTAGGCGCAATCGAACACTGGGTCGTATCAAATGCCTCCAAATTAATACCACAATCCGTCCGGACCAGGTGGCGTGAATACCGCGAAGCCCTCAAAGAAGCCGAAAAGGAAAACCTCGAGGACACCGAGATCAGCGAAGATGCCGAAATGGCTGGCTGGGGTGTAGAGGAGGCTGAGAAAAGGCACAAGGCCGAAGCCAGTAAGTTTCATGGAGGATACATCTACTTCAACCCTACTCACATAACTTTCAGGCCTCGGGACCCAGTTAGCTCTTGCTTATGCTGTGCATAAAAGCTTCATATTCCTTCGAGTTCCCTTAACCGCTGCGATAACGCCCAAGGTAGTTAAGGTCCTTAGGTCATGGGGCTGGAAAATCGGAAAGCGACCAAGCAAGCGGTGACCGGAGTTTATTCTCCAGTAAACGAGAGCTTTATTAGTCACAGCAGTCTCTTCATGAGTTATGATGTGTTCTTACATGGTTTAATACCTGAACGGATGACTTGTAAAATAGGCGTGAGGCGGTGTACGATCGATAAAAGACCATTAGACTCACTCCACATAGAAGATAAACGTCGAAAACAAAATTACCTAATTCAAGGATGCACTCTGTATAATTTACACGAAGAATGAGTTAACGAACGATCTCGAATGTTATTTAGGTGCATATCTTAAGAAGCGCAACTGACAATAAACGCAGCTAGTTTGGATACGTGGAAGCCGGTGGCTACCCTAGTTTAATAGTTTGACTCTGTTCAGCGATATTTGTTACAAGGTGGCGACATTCGGTAGATAAAAAAGTTAGACACAACTCATTAAAGTTTGGACTGGCTTCGATTCCATCTCACTGGAAAATATTCTATTCGACTACATACGAGTTGGTGGATCTAACTACATACGCCCTTGTTTACTCCAGCAAGTGGTGTTAGGTAGCGTGAGAACCAAGTACGAATTCTGGATATCAGATGGAGAATAAGGTTACAGCTAGTTAGGAATCTGTACAAAGGGCAACTCATGTTCAAAAAAAAAAAAAAAAAAAAAAAAAGAACATTGAATATGACCAGGTAGTTGAGTAGTTAAGTCCGGCTTCCCCTAAAAATAGCAAGTCCCATTATATTTTGCCTTATTTATGGAGGATAATTCGTAATGCACATTGCACCTCGTATGCTATAGGCTAGGATATTATGCTCCTCTAAAAGTACTAGAGTAAAAATGGACTCAAGCCACTGACCATGAAAATTTAGCGCAACGGAAATAAATTATCTTCTTAGCTGGCGTAAGAGAAGTGCTTCTATCAAGAATAAAGTTCAATAGGCCATCTTGGCATAACGGCAATCTCGCCATTCATCATATCCTCTATAAGTGCCCCATAGCTCTATTGCAGTGAGACTGGTATAGCCACGGTTAGGTCTCAATGGTAGTTAGTGAGAGGACCAAGCCAGTGGCCATATCATCCATCACAGTATACGTAACTCTAACTAAACGGTCGAATACAAGTCTCCTAACTTATAGGATATTGAAAAGTTCTATCCTACTCACATGACTGATGATTCATTCTCTTATTATTGGAGGTTATTTGCTAGTTATAATCATCTGTTCGACTGTTTCGGACATAACTCGGCTTACCATGACCAGTGTCCCTAGAGAGGACGGTCAGAATTCTCCGGTGGCCATAGTGAAACTTACTCGATCGTAATCTATATGTCATGTGCCTGAATAAGTTCGTTACATCTAAAACCAGCACGTTGTTGCAGGGATTGCGTGTACGGGACCAGGCGCTACTACGGAATCTATTGTCCTGAAAAGCGCCTACAGTGATCCCGGGGAAATAGAACAGGGGTAAGAGAGTAAGAACAAAAACCAAAATCATGACTCGAAACATGTTATCGACCAGATTTAGCAGGTCACCGAGTAGATGGACTACGTCTAGCGTGCCATATTCCAATCTTCTAGATGCCGTAAAGTTCCCCAATGTTAATAGCGGGAGACACGTTTCTTAGCGAAAGGTAATATAGACATGCAACTTGATGAAAAAAAAACCGGATGGCCCCAGTGTTAGCTTCACTTCGAAAGATCAACTTTCATTATAGGTAATTATGTACTAGGTATCTTGAGTCGGAAGGAATGATGCTCTTTAATTATTTAAAGGTAACGGCCTGCTGGAAAATAAGAGAAACTGCATACCTTTAGATATCCATGCGTACCCGCGGACCTAAACCTCAACTTACATATATACCTAGGTACCTAACCTAATACTTTATTTTATTCTCTGTATATTCATCAACTATAATTCGAACAGGAGCTACCTTTAACGATTGCACGTCATTGAAGTTACTGCTCTACATGCCTTATATAGACTCAGAACTGCTCCTTAATTCCAATTGTTCTCCTGGGACACATCACAGAACACAATCTTGGATAACAACATACTCAGAACCAGAAACACCATTGCCGAACATGAAGAATAGTATGTTTACCGCCCGCATGTTTTTCTTTATTATTACCTCTGCCTCTTGGGTTGTTGCAACACCAGAAAGTCCCGATTCGGCGTGCATCACACATATATACACCATACCAGATCCTATGCTAACGAAACAGGTACGGGCAACAACAAGAGCTCACCACGACTCATGAATCCAGAGTCCGAATTTGATATGAATACAGAGTTTGGTCTTCCCGGAAACGCGACGCGTCGTGTCATGTTTGCACTAGATATCGCAAGAGAATGCTCCGACGCCTTTAGCAATCCGAAAATCGAAGCCATACTGAGAGAAGCGCTAAATAGGATCTGGCTAAAGCTCTTAACGATACGGTCTTATGTCATGACGAGAAACGAATTCGCGGTTTTCAACTTCTTCCAAGATCTAAATCTCGATAGTACGATGGCTGAGATAGCTACTAGAGCGAGGGCAATTTATTGGGACCAGACTTATGGTAATAGCCAAGGTTGACTTACAGGAATTCCGGTTATGTCCTTAGGTGCAAGGGAGACACGGCGCTAGGTTGGACTACCTACTCTTACAAACATGAGTAATTTTGATTGGCTTAGAAATCCATAATAGCTTCACTTAACAACAGCAACTGTTCATAGAGCCACCGACAGACTTAAATTAATAATAAAATGGTATTAGTCATACTTAAGCTTTGAAGCTTTCGAATATTTATGCGTTTTTTTCGTGGTTTTATCTAAACCTTGTTTAAATTTATGTGATAACCTACGGCGCATATAAAATTACCTTAAGGTTTCTGGATCTTTTGAGGCTTGTTATTTGCATCACAGCCACATACTGCCCCTCGCCTTAGGTAATCCTCATATTATGACGGCTGACTTACATATGTACCTTAGGTACCTAAGCAGCTAAGGTACGCGCTTTGATTGAAGTTTTGAGGAACAGGTACCTCCTTCTCTGACTTATCAAGGGGAAATAAACAAACCTTTTCCTCCCTAAATTCTACTTTTATAGTTGGACTTATAATGATAATTCAATTTTCGCTTATTTACTTTTTATTAGCAGGCTACCACGGACTTTGCTATACCCACTCATTTCTAGCATGAAATACTTAAGTATATTAGGTAGTTAATTACGTATCTTCGCTCTCGGGTCCATCAATGATTCAATACGCATCAAGATGATACCCCGGACTCCCGAGAAGGCAGTGTCCGATATCGAGGCTCAGCATCATCCTCGTCATCAACACTACCATGCCTTGAGGAAACCTACCATCGCTATTGAGGACCGGCCGAGGCTGAAGCTAATTTTGGCTCTTTTTGGCCTTCTTTCGCTCGCTTGGTTTATAAAATTAAATTTTAAACAATGTCCTTCTATTTTAGATATCAAACAGGTCACCCGGTCAGAATTCGAACATGAAATCTCACGTCCGATTCCTGCTTCGCTGCAGACTCAGACGCCGCTGGAGTGCTTTCAAGTCGCGCAACCTGTGCTCACCTCTAATGGTCCATCCGGTAGTAGGTCCAAATCCGCAGAGGAACCCTCGCCAGATAAGGCTTGTTCAGTCCTATTAATGGAACATGTTTTTGCATTCAGCTATGGCACGCCATTCGTTGGTACGTTACCTTAGGTACCTGGCAGACTCTCATGTGTGTGTTGAACAATAATCTCTAATGGTTAATAGGAAATTATACACCGCCTAGCTGCCCTTTTAATCGAGTTATTATGAACTTCACTGTTGTCTCTCAAGGCCGCCAATTCGATCGCCTGGCATTGATGTATTTTGGCGACACCGAAGTATGGCGTACTTCGACTGCGGAGCCAACATTACCTCCAGGTATACGTTGGACATTCTTGAAGGATATGACCGAGTACCTTTACTTTTGGAAATCTCACCAGAAATTAATTTTCGACCTAGGCAACCTGGTAGACGACAAGTATACCGGGTCGTTCAATGCCACTCTAACTGCAACCTTTTTTATGGCCGATATTGGGACTGACGAAGCACCCCCTGCAGACTTGGTTATCCCGATATCTGCGAGAAAAGGGGGCGCGAATGGGGCAAGCCATTTTACGCTTCCAGCAGACGATGCGACTAACACTGTTAGTTTTCCTCGGAACGCTAATCGAGCCTTCTTCACTGTCTCGGCAAACGGACAAGCTTCGGAGGAGTTCTGGTGGGGAAATGTTCCGCAAAGCGATACTCTCGCGTTTAGCCAGACTGCTGGACAACTACCTGGACTGTCTCCCTTTCGCGAAGTCCAATTGCTCATCGACGGTAAGCTCGCTGGAGCCCAATGGCCGTTCCCGGTGATATTCACCGGCGGAGTAGTGCCTAGTCTGCATCGGCCTATCGTTGGTTTACAGGCTTTTGACTTAAGAGAGCATCAGATCGATATCACCCCATGGTTACCTACGTTATGCGATGGAGCTGATCACACATTTGCCATAAGGGTCGCCGGCTTAAATAATTCGGAAAATAGTACCGACCTTACACTGACAGAAAGGGTCAACGACAGCTGGTACGTTACGGGTAAAATATTCGTATGGCTAGATGAAGAAGGATCGGTGACCACTGGTACCGGCCCTTCAGTAGAGATCGTCGGACCAATCATTTCGCTTTCGAGCCAAATTACACAGAATGCAACCGGGTTTAACGAATCGCTGGCTTTTAACATGACCGTTCAGAGGACGATTACTATCAAATCAGCTATCAAGTCGAAGGGTCAAAACGGAGAGAGTACTTGGTCTCAAAATCTCTCCTATTCGAACCGAGCCCTAATGTCGAACTTTGGAACCACTCAAATCAATGACTTTAGTATTACTGGAACCGATTCTACTACCGGGCCTACCACCTCTTACAAGGCGATCTATAGTTATCCGCTATATTGCAATCAAACATACTTAAGGTCACCCCAGGGTAACCTGACGATAAGTGCACACCTAATAGAAGGACTTGATCTTCAAGTAGAGGGAGACTCCGTCTTCCCTACAGGCTTCGAAGCTTTTGGAGCTAGCACTACTGGAAATAATTCGTACTCTACTTCACATCTTAAAACTCACCGCGACGGTACCGCATTCTTCTTCCAGACAGGAGATGGTAGGAATAGTTCTGGCTATGGTTCAACTAGTCAAATCTTCTACTTCGGTGGCTCCAGTGAGAACGCTACTCTAGAGGGTGGAAGTGATGTTGACGAGCTCTACTTCCGAAATGTGACGGCGGTGAATGGCACCGTTGTGTTCGACTCAGAGAGGATGGAAGGGGTAGAGACTTATGGTTTCAACCGGGTATCAGAGCTTCATAGTCCTGTCGAGGCAGCGTTGACCCTATTTGCCCATGTCCCCGCCAAGGTGCCAGGGTCGAACATTTCGATAGGAAAAGATACGGATGACCACAGAACACATAATAAGCCTTCAGGACAAGTTCAACTTCCCTAAGGAGGTACCTAGCTACACTATTAAGGAAGGTCTACTGTATTATTATAATAGAGCTTGAAGGATAGCTATAATCATCATAGATAGAAGGTTATATCTTAATTGTTAATTTTATATTTGACTCCGAGGTTGCGGTCTATACTATAACTATGATAGGAGTTTTACATTTAGTCTTTGTTGGGGGTTTCCCAGTAACTAACCCCTTATGTCTTCAACATTTGATGCCCCAACTAGTCGAATAATTCTGAACCTACCTAATACATGTTCATCTCGATACGAACTTTAATCCAATTTCGGTCATCGTTACGGAAATTGGTTATTCAAATCTAACTTTAATATTCATACCTGGGTATCCATTACTTGTTCAGTTAACACGTGTCCTCTCTCGGACCAGTCCAACCAATAACCTCATTACAGAATCCAAGAGCTAGGATCGTACCGGAAATCCATATAAACCAACATAATGCGTAATGTCATGGGTGGGGTATATGCTAATATAGTAGCAAGTAATTCCCATCGAAAACAAGATCAAGTTCCAAACGCCATGCTGAAAACGCTTGAACACGGGCCTAATACCTGTACATCTCATCCGTCCATCCATTCCAAAGCAAAGCCATGAAGAAAATACCAACCGACTTAGGGCAGCCTACGCGCCGTCGTCCGCGAGCCCGTCGACTTTGTCAGCTGCCACAAAGTAATTCCGGCGATCGGCCTCCTTGAGGCCCTCGTAGAACACATCGGCCATCTTCCTGTACCCGGCGTCGTTGGGGTGGGTGCCGTCCGTGTTCAGGTCGTCGACCTTGGGCCCCAGGTCGCTCTGCATGTCGACGACGACGAGGCGCTTCTTGTCGGCCTGGAGCTGGAGCTGGTTCCCGAGCTTCTCGAGCTGCGAGTTGAAGTCCTGGACGCGGCGCTGCACGGCCGGGTCCTTGTTGACGAGCAGCGTGGACAGGACGACGGTGGCCTTGGGCGACTCGGCGTATAGCGAGTCGAGGAGGCTCTGGAGGCGCTTCCCGGCGCTGGGCAGGTCTTTGTTTTGCACGCAGTCGTTGGTCCCGACGTTGACGAGGATGACGTTGGGCTTGTACTTGGGCACGGAGGCGTCTGCTTTGTCGTGCACCTGGTCGACCGTGTAGCTCTTCCAGCCCTCCGTGTCGTTGTCCTTCATGGTCCCGGACGGGTTGTTCCCGACCATGTTGACCTTGTTCCCGTTGGCTTCGATCTTGTCGCGTATGTCCTTCCGGTACCCGTTGTTGTCGGAGGACCCGAAACCGAAGGTGATGGAAGCTCCTAAGGGCATGATTCGCAGGGGAACTCCGTTTCCGAATCCCTTTGCTCGAGTTGCAAGGGCGTCCCTTGGTAGGGTCCCGTTGTGGTTTTGAGATGCTGGCGTTGGTAAAGCGAGGCCTGGGTTTTGTTAGGATATGGTGATTAAGGGATATATATATATATATACCTATATATATATTGGATTAGAACTTACCGCTCGTTATTTGTGATGCGAATGCTAAGACACACCACAGTAGTTGCTTGTGAACCGACATTGTAGCAACGACAAGATTGGCAATATAATGATCCCGAATAGTATGCCAAGCTTCTCTGTCAACTATAGTCTTTGATCGACTACTGTCTGCTCGTCGTGATCTACTGTGTGCAAGCTCCTGATTGCGCGGTTTCCGAGTCTCCATCCCTGGGGAGCGTGGCAGCGGACTATTTATCGTTGCTACAAGCCTGCATTCCAGGCCGGAGTCTAGAAGCTCCTTCGATGTCTCTCCGAGGATCAAGTGGGCCAGCACTCATGGCTCTGCAAGGCTGGTCACCTCCATCATGGACCCGTCCGGCCAGCAGGCTGGTTGAAGTGAAGGCTAAGCATTTTTCGATCGACGCTACGGCACTGCAAGGTTGTAAGTTGGGATCTAAGAGATCCCGGGTATTATGGATCGTGGGTAGAACTCGGGGGTCTAGACTTCAGGGGGTCACGTTGCTTGCTAGCTTTGTTTATTAGATGTCTTACATGCAGTATTCCGTGCATTATCGATCCCATGCTACTACCCGAGTCCAGCCATATTTTCCTTGTGGTACGTCGATAAGGGTTTTTTTTTTGTTTATATTGGTTACATCGGGTTCATAATCCTATAATTATTGCAGGTTTTCTTGATGTTGATTCTGAATAGGGGTTTTACGAGTAAGCATCCTGCGTTCAGCAATTGTGGGAGACGGGTCCGGCAGGTTCGGTAATTGAAAACTTGTTGCTTCCATTCCGAATTGTAGGAAGAATCCAAAGGAGTAGGATCCTCTGAATACGTCAAGATTCTTTAAGAGATATTATACATGGATATGGGATCAGCAAGCCGTTGTAGCTTGCTTCTAATAAAAGGCAATGTTCAAGATGGGCTGGGTTTGCTGAAGCAGGACGATCATTTCTCTTTTTAGCTGAGATCCCTGTTCCACGTTGTAAGCTCGACCAACCTCGGAAATGTCAATGTCGGGACGGTTGATCTAGAAGCCAGATAGCGTTTGCGGATTCTGATCACGTTGGTAAGATATCTCGGCTGAATTACAAGGCTAATAGCTCGTAATACCTAGCTTTCTATATATATTAAAAGGCACTTACACAATAAATACTTCCACCAATTCATTGGTAGCCAATGATCAAGACTCAATATTTATGTACATTAGGTAGGAGATACCACTCTAGAGTCACGCCATGTAGCCTGTAGGGGTATGTCGAACGTATCTCAAGAATTAGAATTCGCCGCGAGACAAACACTGTGGTGCTATACCGGGATTAAAACTTGGAGATCTGTACGCCTAACATTTCTCTCGGATTTGTTGGAGAATCTCCCGGGACGCAAAACATAGTAAAGTGAAGATCCTGCGTGTTTGCCTTCGGTATCTTGTTTTCGTCCCATTTTCGAGGCTGTTTTAACCATAGGATTCGTTAAACCAATTCTGACATCAGCTGTTACCCTTATCTTATGACTTGCTGGTTAGTGAGCATCATCTTCTAACATAGCCTCGCTCCTCTTGGCAGATCTCTTGTACGAATAAGCATCCGTATTCCATTTCCTTGAGAGATCTGTACATATAAGGTCGTATGTAGAGCGACATTCGGGCCTCACCTTACCTCGCTCCACCCACCGCCGACCTAATTACATCATTAATAGAAGCCTTATGTAGCCTAGTCTGTAGCTTTTTGACGTCGATCAGCTCAATACGTGCTCACTAACTTAGGTACCTAGGTAAATCCTATTTAATCCGTGATACGATATATGCTATTCTCGGCACAGGCACATATGACGATCATCCACCTAGCTTGCATTGGCTGCGCCAGACGCTCGGTTCCTTATAACTCGCGAAGGTCAGCGGGTTGATATAGATGGCTATATTGCCGACCTATTTGTTGATCACATCGTCTTCGGATAGTAGATCAACATTCTGCTTTTGCAGTACCGCCCGCAATATCCCTGATCTAGCAAGCAGCTGTTCTATATTTACTTCCCAGTGCCTTTAGTTTAGGTTGGTCGCTTTCAATATTTACGAATGTCTATCCAGATAAACAGATAAACGAGGCTGAACTTAAAGCTTAGGCTGAGAGTAAGTAAGTAACCCCTTTCCTACCTAATACTATCATGTCGATCTCGGTTCCCATATCATGATGGTAATTTGGTATGGATCGCCATACTCCTCTCCAGTTAACTCCTTGAGGTCAAAAGTCAACCGGTCCACCTCCTGGAAGCCCAATTTCTCATACACTCCTTTGCCGTTAGGCGTAGCCTCCAGATAGGACTTGAGGCCATGAGCATCGGCGATAGCTAGCATGGGCAGCAACAGCGCTTTCGCGGCTCCTCTCCGGTAATATTTAGGCGATGTGCATAGAAGTGATAGACCTGCATGTACGTATATAATACTCTCTTTAGCCATTGAAACATATTCAAACAATGATCATCGTCTTTACTCACCCAACATCTCATCTGCATTGTGCTTATCCGAGGCGACTTTCAACGCATCGAAGAAGACCTGGCATAGCTCTGGCCGGCTGCCTTTTGGGTAATCCGCAACAGGGGGGTTAATAGCTTCGACAGGTGCACTATTCGCTGGCGGGTTCTCTCCCGTAACCTCTCCCGGTGCAACGATCTGGGAGACATCCACGGCGGTCTCCTTATTTCCGACCCATTCCCCAAAGGCTTTCTCGTAGCCTTCGGGAATGTCCCATCTAGCGAATGCAACTACGTCACCGCTCTGGTCATCCGTAATTTTGAAGTGTCGGACGCTTCGGTCATCCATCTTGCGGCGGATGCGGCGCTTCATCCAAGTAAACATATCCTCCTTGTTTGGCGGCCACCAGAAGGCGTTGCGCTTGTCTGTCGCAAACGCATCGTAGTATATATCTGCAATGATATCCACATCGGCAGCTGTACAATAGGACATGGAGAATCCCTTGGAAAGAGATGAGGGTATCGGAAAAGGTAACGCCATTGCTTAGAATTTTATTTCCTTCTAGTCTCTAATTTTTACTTGGTCTTGAAGGGTAAGTAATAAGTTGGACTTTTCGACAACTCATCTAAACGAAGAGCAGACGAGCAGACGAGGCTGTATTAAATTGATATATTTTCTCCTGAAGAGGAAGTAATCCGGATGCACTAGTTATAGCGGTATCGTCGGTTGCGGAGTATCGCCCGAACTGGCGGTCTAAGCTATACCATGTAATGTACTTCGTAGTATATCAACCAATCGAGACTCGGGTGGTTAGCTAGAAACTATACGACCTTCCGAATAAGTCTTCTGCTTTGGTTTTGATTGGTCATATCCTGCGTCATACGCCGATGACTCTATCGGCGAACAGAGATAAAATATCATATTATGCAGCAAAGCCGTATTTCTTCATCATACTCTCTCGCTGACCCAAATTGCACCCCTACATCCTAACCGTATCACGCCAGTTAATAACCAGTGCGGCTCGGCCTTCTTCGCATCATTATCAACGGCATGGTCTAGATGCTCTAGCTCTTCATCTCGTATCCTCCGTAATGTTGTAACTAGATCTTGTAGCTCTTCGCCTACTTCGTACCCTTCGGCCTCCCACTGTTCGAACATTTCTAGTAATGTCCGTATTTGGTTATTATAATGCCCGCCGATCTCTGTCTCGACAGCTTCTGTACAAGCCATTGCGGCCTCCCTCCCCATAACTGCCGTCGACCATCCTAGCCCCGATGCTAAGACGGACCAAACTGGGTAGAGGGCTGTTGGGCGCACGCGGTGTTTAGCGATGAGGGAGTTGAATGTGTTGAAGTGGCCCTCTTCTTGGGCGTACATATGGGCTAGTAAGGGCCGAAGATGGGGATGCGCATTGACAAGCGGCGGCGTCTGGGCGGTATAGATCAAGGTAGCAGCTAATTCTCCGGCTTGGTTCACACGGAGCTTGATAGACGGCATCTTAGCACGAGTCGTAGGAATTCAATGACTAAGGAGGTGCTATCTAAGGCGGCCTTACAGCTGAAGAGAGGAAATCGCGCTGCTCCTTTGTCAGAGGCTTCCGTTTAGGCTGGGATCCTGACGGGCCAGTCGAAGAAGACGAGGCCGACGAGGCCGACGATACCGTTGCATTATTCTTCGTCGTTGTGCTTAAGAATTGTCTTCGGGTCGGCTGGGACAAAGTAGGGAGGAAGGAGGATTGAAGAGTTTGGCGCACTGCGCATGTTTTTATTCTTGGCAGGGACATGGCAGGCTAAGCAGCACAATTGAAGAGGAAATATGTTAGGAGGTAGATCTCGAGATTAAGATACCATTTCATGAAGTAGGTACGTAGCAGACCAGAAGCCGGGAACGGCGGACCTGGTTTCTAGCTCCCGATGGTTACATATGATCTACCTACCTGTGTAACAATTCCTTATCTGATAACTAAGGTTGATAAGGTTAGATCGTGCATCACTTAAGGTTCATCTCGGGAAAATGATTAGGTAAGGAGATAAAATCCACCCAATGGGAACAAACAATGGGAAGAACAAATACAACAGCCAGACGTGGTCCTCCAAATGCAAGCTCAATGAGGCTGTAAATTCAACAACTCAAATCCTTTAACTTTAGTAAATTATCTGACGCCTTCCACAAATAGGGGAACTAGCACCCAACTCTCTCAACCAAATCTTCTTTTCTCACTATGTTATAAGTATCTTCATTTAATTTACCTACCTTTCCCTCACAAAAACTATTTCCTCTTTACAATCAAGAAACCATCGACCCTACGACTTCCACGAGTACTCGCCGTCGCGCATCGCGCATCACATTTTCCAGACGTTTGCATCTAATCCGAGTCGCCTTCGCGAACTAAACATCCTATCATCATGGCCGATGTAGATGATGAACTTCTAGCCCTCGTCGGAGGCGACGAGTCGTCTGATGAGGAGCAAGAACAGCCTGCGAGTCCTAGTCGTTCTGTATCTGGTTCACCCGACCCCGAAGCCAAGGATCAAACATCAAGCAAGACAAAGCACAAGCCTAGCAAGAAAAAACATGACGATTCAGATGAGGAGGAAGGCGAGGCGTGAGTTCCCTAGTTATCTTACTACTTCCATCAACCCCACGCATCCTATTATTCAATACACGCTCTCTTCTCAATCGTTGTTGCTATGCAACAGGCAGAATATAAGGACAGCCTTCTTTCGCTTCGTCCAAGTCAGCCAACCTTCACATTAACCCCACTCAATGCCTCGCAACTCCTACTTAAAATCACACTACAATTCGTTTATTAAGTTTATTTCTTAACATTCAATAAACGAACTAAGCTAACTCACGCGCGCCATGCCTCACAACAGTTCTTCTATTGCCTCTCCTGCCTCGCAGAATTCTGCACCCATGGACGAATCTGATTCCGAGTCGGATACCCTGCAGGCTACTAACACCAACGGCAAGATGGACGATGATGATGATAACAAATACCCCATCGATGGAATTTATGCAAATGAGGCAGAGAAGGAAGAGATTTTAGCTATGCCCGAACTCGAGCGAGAGCAGTTGCTTGCTAGACGTCAGGAGGAAGTTGATCGCCAGCGACAAAACACCTTACTTCGTCGGCTGCTGAAAACGAGAGAGGACGATAGTCAGTCGGTTAAGAAGCGCAAAGCCAGTGCTGCTGACCTAGATGAATCCCAGCGCAAGCCCTCACGACAGCGAACAAGAGTTGGTGGTTCAAGAGTGGGCGAGACGAGCTCTGGCATTGAGTCGCTCCGCCGCGCTCGAGCCGAGAAGAACGATCGGCAGCGCCGTAGAGAAGAAGATCGAGAGCGCAATAAGAAGTCACACTCTTCTCGCGACAGCCCTGGTCGCGATGTTGATGATGATAGCGATGTCGACTGGGCTGGTAGATCAAGGGACAGATTTTCCAAGTCACGAACTCCCGAAGTGAAAGAGACCCCCCTCGCCGATATCCGTGATTTCGAGCGCGTACGACTTGGCCGCAGCCGATTCGCTCGAGTTTGTTTCTACCCTGGTTTTAACGAAGCCATCACCGGATGCTACGTCCGTATCGCTCTTGGTCCAGGTTCTGATGGCTCTAATGTCTACCGGATGGCTCTTGTTAAAGGTATAGTCTAGCCATACACCTCTAGTCTCTTCATTACTAACCGTGCTATCCCAGGATTCACACAGGGGAAACCATATGCCATGGAGAAGTCAAACGGTCAGAACTTTGTCACCGATCAGTACATCAAAGCCGCACATGGCAAATCTGAAAGGGACTGGCCTTTTATTAGTTGTTCCGACTCACCTTTTACAGAGGTTTGTGACAATCCTGCCGCTCTATTCTATGTTTGCATGTCTAATTTTTTATTATAGGCTGAGTTCAACCGCTATAAGAAGGTTTGCCAAGACGAGGGCGTTATCTTTCCCAAGAGACCGACACTAGACGCTAAAATCGACGATATCAATGCTCTAGTGAATCGCTCCTGGACTGACGCAGAGGTGAATGCCAAGATCGAGCGAGAGCGAAGTCTGCTCAGTAAATTCATGCCTACTGAGCGAAACCGATTAGTTGACTTGATTGAGGAAGCCAGACGACGCGGAGATGACGCACGAGTTTCGGAACTCCAAGACAAGCTGGACTCCCTCGAAACTCCACGTCTAGCTTTCAAGACCAGCCTCGCGCCATCAAATAAGTCGACCAGCTCAACGCCAACACAGCAGGAACGATTAGCAGCTTTGAATGCTGAAAACCGTCGACGTAACGTGGAGGCTGTCCGTAAGGCACAGCTAATGGAGAAAGCGAAGGCGCGCCAAATTGAAGCACGCGTTGCGCGTGGAGAAGATGTCAATGAAGACACTTCACGACGTCTCAGAACCAAGCCTAAGTTTAGGCAGGACATTAATGAGTCGGCCGACTTGAAGTCGACGCCAGCCAATGGTAGTGGTGCATCGACACCTGCAAACGGCACACCAAAGCAGAGTGCTACTACGAAAGCACCACTTCTACCTCATCTGCAGAAGCTGCAGCTACAAAACCACCAGACAGGGAAAGATAAGAAGGGGATCCCTCAGATTCATAAACCAATTGTGGATGATGATATCATCGCGGCTTTGGATCTTGACATTGAGGTTGACATTGATTAGACGAAGCGAGCAATTTTCTGCATAGTTAGACTAGATTCTGATTTCCTAGTCAATGTTTTCTCTTTAAAGTGTACGTTAAAGGACGAAGTTTTCCATCCATATGCTCTCGGAAAACGAATCACAAAGTTAGGTTATTATTTAACTAAGGGCAGCTCTACCTGAGACATAGGTCTAGGTTAGGAGATTGCGTAGATGGCGTTGAGGATAGGTTCAATCGGATGGTAGCAGAAGATAGGAGCATAGCATCAATATTGGACATAGCATACATATAATCCTTGCTACCTCTTTCAGCTAGTGCATGATAATTAATATACTATGTTGATGGTCGTGAAACTCCCCGGCGCTGCGGTGGCGGGTGGCCGTGGCTAGCTTGGAATGCCGTGGGATTCCACGGAGTTTGATGGTTTGCCGTGGCCTTATTGGTAACATTTGTAATCCTGACTAAAATCAGGACCCGGAGCCGCAACTTAGTGGCATCCCGGCGGAGACTTATTTATGGCTTAGTGTAAATCAGCCATTCTAGACTCGGTCCTCAGAGGCTCAGACAAATTTTTAGTTTATGACGATTGACTATGCGGAATTTGAATACTGCCCGAGACGGGGCGGCAGCGGTTGAATCTCTATACCGCTATTTGTCAGGATGGCAACATACGATGCTACGTACTAAGGAGATGGACGCAGATGAATTTAGTATTTTAGTATTTAATGTAGCTAGGGCTCGCAAATATTTTCGAATGGTAGAAGAAATCATCATCAGAAGCAAAGCTGCCTTGTCAAGACTACCTTAACCTACTCGAAGTACCCGAATATAAAACATCTTAAGTTGCCATCTTTTACCCTAAATCAAAATGCCTGCTAGACGCCACGATTCAGCCGTCGTCGATGTTGCGCCTCTGGGCCAACCTCTCAAGTTCGAGTTCTCCGGGAAAGTCGCAAAGAATCGCTTTTACAAAGCCTCGATGGCTGAGGATCTAGCATCCTGGAGTGTTGAGAATTTCGAGGAGCGTGGTATCCCGACTAAGGAGCTTATTGAACTATATCGAATGTAAGGATGACAAAGGCCAGACACATGTATCCTGATTCCTCATAGAGACTAATACGAGCACTTAGATGGGGAGAGAATGAGTGGGGTATTATTGCTACTGGAAACATTGATATCGAGTTTGATATACTAGATGCTGTCGGCGATGGCATCATTACTCCAGAATGCCCCTTTTCAGGCCCACGCTTTGAAGCGTTTCAAGAGATGGCCAAGGTATCCAAGGCGAATGGTAGCTTGATCGTGGCTCAGGTTACACACCCTGGACGCCAGCTAGCCGCCAGGATTAAAAAGGACACGATTTCAGCGTCGGCGATTCAGCACCGTACGTAAATATCCCCTTTTTCCCATGTATCCTGACGATAAGGCGTTAACAAGCATTATGTACCTCATGATAGCCCCGAAGCATGGTACGGTCTATGCCACGCCCCGGGAGGCCACGAAGGAAGATATCGCACGTGTTATCGACGGGTTTGCACACGCCGCCGAGTACCTAGATAAAGCTGGGTTCGACGGCATTCAACTTCACGGAGCACACGGATACTTGATCGCACAGTTCCTGTCCGAGCTTTCAAACCATCGTACCGACGAGTACGGCGGTAGCATATCGAACCGCCTACGTTTCGTGTCCGAGATCGCTAGGGAGATCAAGAGACGTGTGCGCCCAAGCTTCATCGTCGGTATCAAGGTGAACTCGGTCGAGTTCCAAGAGAAGGGCATCAAGCCGGCAGAAGCCCGAATTATGTGCGAGACCTTCCAGGAGCTGGAATTCGACTACGTCGAGCTCTCGGGCGGTAACCACGAGGACATCGGGTATGGCTCCAAGAAGGAGACTACGCTGAAGCGCGAGGCGTACTTCCTCGAGTTCGTCCGCGATATCGTCCCGCACCTCTCCAAGACCAAGAAGATCCTCACCGGCGGGTTCCGCACGACGGCCGCCATGGTGGACGCCCTCAATATCCTCGACGGGATCGGCATCGGTCGTCCCGCCGCGCAGGAACCGCGCCTCGCGCGTGATATCCTATCCGGGAAGGTCACGAGCGCCATCCGGCCGGTCGACGGCATCGTGAACGATGTCATCCTCTCCTTAATGAGCGCGGGTTCGCAGATGACACAAATAGTCAGGGGTCAGGAGCCGTTCGATCTTAGCGACGAGAAGGCGGTTGCTAGCTTCCAGGCGGACCTGGGGGCTCATTTCCAGAAGTTCGCGGCGGCCAATGGAAGCCTGGAATTCCGCGGCTTCCCGGAGCTGAGCGACCCTAATACGACTTCGCATCCGTATGGCGTTCCTTACTAGATACCTAGATCAGATGGTTTAGACTGACTGGTACGGCTGTTGGGTTTCTGCGCTTAAGTGTTATTACTAGGTACCTGCTTTGAGTATTTTGGTTAGCAGCTCGACATAGAGAAGGTCATGTGTTAATAGATAAATACGATAGAGAATGCATATATTATCGGTACTTTCTTAACCCTTTATTACTTCAAATATAAGAGAGTTGATAAGATGAGGCTCAAGACATCCATTGATGGCGATGCTGACCACGACTCCTCCTTGAAATATTGCAACGCATACGCGAATAATGACTTTTAGGTACATACCTAGGTATATATGCAATATTTAATGCCAAGACTTTCTCGTCCATGACCAGAAAACCAGAAAACCAGATGCGCCATTTGTCAGCAGTCCGTGTACCTCGGCGCCCCTTATTCTCACGAGAGCTATTCTCACGAGAGCTGACCAATTCACCTGTAGTTTTTAATTTTTAATTGCTTTTCTTCCGTCTGCCGAGTAGGCACTTTCTATATTGTATATTGTCTTTTCCCCTGAAACTAATTCCCAGAAAGGATCTACTATTCAAAGTTGTTTATAAGTCCACTGCCTAATAAAGATGGAGACCAGTTCTCGTCGTAAAGCATGTAGGTCACTATAGGTCACTATATATCTATTCTCTTAAAACCTCGCTAACGATCGCTTATATAATAGGCGATACTTGCTTCAAGAAGAAAATCAAGTGTGACATGCTGAAACCAGCATGCTCGAACTGTTTACTATATAAAGTGCCATGTAGCACAACTGTAGTTCGAAGAAGAGTAGCCCCGGTTGTTCAGAGGGAATCACGGGCAGCAAGCACCACGGTGGATGGCGATAGCCTTGAGGCTCGTCTTGCGCGGATCGAGGCAAAGTTAGACAGGATTGGCGATCCCAACGTTGCCACCATTGTAGATCAAGGGTCTGGTAACACATCAAATCAAGCTGTGGGATCTGCCATTTCGTCAGTTGATATCTCCTCAGGGGCATCTAGTCCGTGTCTTTTGGAACGCCACGGGGAACACTGCCTGCCGCCTCTCACTGAGATATTACCGGTTATTGAGGACTACTTCCGTGATTTCAATACTGCCTTGCCGCTGTTTCACCAACAGCATTTCATGCAAATGCTTTTGGACTTCTATTCCGAACAGGAGCCTACTAAGAAGTCTAGGGCCGTCTGGGCTGCGATAAACGTAGTCCTTGCCCTTGGTCTCCGCATCCGTACGGTTGAGACAGACGAAATCATAGTTAGATTCGACGATACTAAAATCAAACATTGCATCGACAATGCCCAGAAAGAACTGGACGAGCTTGTGACCCGAGAAGAAGACACCCTTGGGATAGAAGTTCTCTTGGGTCTGGTTTGTAAGTCTCAAACTAAATTCTAAACATCATTTATGGATAGGATCACTGACCAAATGTGCTTTAGTGCTCTTCCAGACAAATACTGACCAGAAACCAGCGTCAGTTCTGATTAGCACTGCTGTTCGACTAGCCCACAGGCTCGGGCTTCACATGAAATCAACCTTATCCCAATATTCACCCGAGGTTGCACGTCACAGAAGCAATATATTCTGGCTCTGTTACTATTTAGACAAAGTAACCCTAACATCTCCATTTTTAACACCTTCTATAGCTGATATGATTTAGGACATCTGCTTCCGCTCGAATATCCCCTCTATCCAATGCGATTATGATTTAGACTTGGACCTACCCGAGGACAATAGCAACTATCTTCAAAGTATTGATGGGCATTCACAACTCAACTATCTCCGGGCCAGGGTCCAACTTGCCTACCTGCAGGGAAAGATCTATGACTACCTGCTCAGCAATCGGTCGTCGAGATTATCGGTTGGGGCTCGCCAGGAGAGAGTTTCTCATCTTGCCGGACTCCTAAACCAATGGGTACTAACAATACCAGAATCAATGCAGCTCGAAAAGATAACAGAGACTGTGGCAAAGGCACCGCTCTCTCATATGATACTTCTATACCACACTTATCTAATGTGCTATACGGTACTTAACGGCCTCTACTCTCTCGACTCGCCTTGGTTAAAAGCGATCAATGGCGTCAGCGGTTCGGTTCTTCGAAGTTTCGATAATCAAGCAAACGCTTGTATGAGGCATCATACACCACTGCTGCCTCGTTTTTGGGATACGTGCGTGAGAGCTAGTCGCGGATGTTTGAATATACTAAATAATAAATCCTATAGTGGATGTAACCTATGGTGAGCAGACTACCAAACCGCGCCTTATGGACACCGTCGTCGCTAAAGATATAAATCCTCGTAGGCTCGGTGGCTGTGCCTACTTTTCTGCATTCATCGTCTTGCTAGCTAATATAGTATACTATCCTTCGCACGAGCTAGTTGATCATGATCGGGAACTTACCACGATAACAAAAGAGCGTGTTGGGAGGCTACTAGACTACACCAGGTCCGAGTCTTTTAAGACTCTCCAAATCGTCCTTACAAGCTTAGAGCAGGCCGCGAATTACGCGGTCGAGCGGGCGAAGAGCCTCGACAGGACTTTTGTTCCTGTGCCGTCTGCCGCACATTCCCATTACTCATATGCTCCGTCGCAGTTTAGGACATTTTCCAACGACGTAAGCCAGAACTTGAACTTGGTTAGTGAGAGTGAGCCCCAATATAGTGTGCTAGGCGCGGGGAATTATAACTAAACATATACAAATGTTATCTAGATTGGTCATCCCGAGGTACCAGCTCAGGAGGCCGCGTGGCCCCAAGATTCGACTTTCGGGATTCCAGGCAGCACGCTTGCTGGGTTCGATTTCAGCGATGAGCTATCAGTGCCGGATTTTATGCGAGGACTCTTCTGAGAAAAGGGCATATATAAGATATATATATATATATATATATATAATGAGAGGGAAACTAAAAGGAGGGATATTGTTCTGATTGAAACATATAATAACTATAGGTGAGAAAACCCCTGATGTAATTTGTCAATTTGTCAATTTGACATTTACACTAGAACGGATCCAAACGGCGATGACGATATGAAGCTAACAATTCTAAGAAGGGGAATATTATTGATGTGATTATTGATGTGCCCATGCAGCATTGTAATTGGATAGCTTGACAATGGACTTGAATGATAGCATATCTGGAACATTGAACGGATGATTGGCTCGAGCTATGCTGAGAAATGTGGAACACGGGAAAGTCAAGTTGAATTATGATGTCATGAGTTGGTGAACAAACATAACTCTGGCCATTGAGAAGGTTGGGATTACAACTCCTGGTCAATACAAAGTGTCTAAGGACGCATGCAAGGATGCATTACGACATGGGAGTTACATAAGTATGTACCTATAATGTACCTATAGAGCCACAGGGCAGTGATGGAATACTTGATCGGTGATGGGAAGAAATAATAGAAGATGATGATGATGAAAGTTCAAGCCGTTGATTTGACCTCGAACCATTTGATTCCTGACCCCTCAGTTACGATACCTCCTTGTTTCTTCTACATTGCACTTGGTTGGCTACACACCTGCATATGTCGTCCTCTTTATGATTTTAGTCTAACATATTATTCGTAATAAGATATCCAGATATCCTTCTTTCCCTCCTCTTCTGCCGTCCCGTCTTATTTCATGAATCCCGCCAGATCCCTCTTGCGACCTTCTATAGCTCGTATCTTCCTTAAGCCTAGGCTCGCTCCTAACTATAAATTGCAAACCAATAATTGCACTAGACTCATATCTGTATCTGCAGTTAGAGCAGTTAGAGCTATGCCTCAATTCAAGCTGAAAGATGTATCCTCCTTGTCACTGCAGCCTGGTGACAAGCAAGAGGTCGAAGTTGAGGGTGTCGAGGGCGGCAAAGTTCTTCTCCTCAATGCCGCTGGCAAGATCCAAGCTATGGGACCAAAGTGCACACATTACGGAGCTCCCCTCGTAAAGGGCGTTTTAACTAAGGGCGGTCGATTGACCTGCCCGTGGCACGGAGGTTGGTTTTCCCTCTCGACCTTTTTCTTGTAGGCAACGAACCAGTATAACTAACCTTACCTTTCTCCTATCTATATAGCTTGCTTTAACGGCCAGACCGGTGATATCGAGAACGCCCCTGCCTTAGACGCCCTCCCCGTCTTCAAAGTAGTTGAGAAGGATGGTGCCGTGTATATCGAAGGCGAGGAGGCGACGATCAAAGCCGCGAGACGGAAACCTAACTTCAAGTGTGGTACCAGCGGCGGGGCACAAGCTGATAGAGTTGTCGTAGTTGGCGGCGGCAGCGGAGCAATTGGTGCTATTGAAGGTCTAAGGGAGAAGGGTTTCTCTGGCCCTATTACTATGATATCTAACGAAGGCTATCTGCCCATCGATCGAACTAAGCTATCTAAAGCCTTAATTACAGACCACACCAAGATCCAGTTGAGGGACGAGGAGTGGTTCAAGTCGGGCTCGGTCGAAGTAGTGTATGACGAAGTTGTCGACGTCGATCTTGTCAGCAAGGCTGTTACCACTAAGAATAAGGAGAGATTTGTATACTCTAAGCTGGTTTTGGCTACTGGAGGCTCACCGCGGAATCTGCCCATGCAGGGATTTAAAGTGCTCGAGAACATCTTCCTACTTAGGACAGTTCATGATGCAAAGAAGATTGTGGATGCTATCGGTGATAAAGGTAAAAAGATTGTCGTCGTTGGTAGTAGCTTCATTGGCATGGAAGTGGCAAAAGCGACGGCTGCCGAAAACGAGGTGACGGTAGTTGGTCAAGAAAGCGTCCCGCTGGAGAGAGTATTGGGCCAGGAAGTTGGTGCCGGATTACAGAAGTTATTGGAAGAGAAAGGGGTCAAATTCTACATGTCAGCAGGAGTGGACAAAGCTGAACCATCTGGCTCGAGTCCATCCAGAGTGGGCTCGGTGCATCTGAAGGACGGCACAAAACTCGAAGCCGATCTGGTCGTGTTGGGTGTTGGTGTCGCACCGTCAACGGGATATCTTAGAGAGAATAAGGTAATCCGATTAGAAGAAGATGGATCATTAAAGACGGATGAGAACTTCCTCGTGGTAGGAGTAGGACTGAAGGATGTCTATGCGATCGGAGACATTGCCTCGTATCCTTATCACGGTCCCGGAGGTCAGGGCAACTTCACACGAATCGAACATTGGAACGTGGCGCAGAATCAGGGACGACTTGTAGCCCATCACATCGTCAACCCGTCGTTGAAATCAGACTTCTTCACACCAATATTCTGGTCGGCTCTGACGGGACAATTGCGATATTGCGGTAATTCGATGAACGGGTGGGACGAGCTTGTCTTGCAGGGTAATCCGGGAGAAGGCAAATTTGTGGCATATTACTGCAAAGGAGAGACTGTGGTAGCGATGGCTAGTATGGGAGTGGATCCAGCTATGTCCAAGTCGGCCGAGCTTATGAAGATGGGCGCTATGCCATCTAAGACGGAGCTTAAGGGAGGGCTAGACATTTTGGCTGTTCCGTTACCGGCTTAGGGATGTACTTCGTAGTGTTCCTGAGTTAGCGTCTGATCCAAGCCGCCGGGGAATTAGTTAGCTAGGTACTAGTGCGATTTATGTATTAATTGGGCTAAAGTGCGTCATCGCGCACCCCTCGGCGCGACGTATCACAGGATAGGTAATCTAGAGGATGGCCAAGACGATCGACTACAACCAAAAACACGGTAACATGGTGATTTGTCCATGTGACTGACTAGGTATTTACCAACCACTTCATTCAGACAGGACATTTATATGAAATAGACTTGCATTCCCTTTACGAGTAGTTGTCTCATTTGCTTCCCGACTTGCGCCCTTTATCGTAGAATGTTTTACCTGTTAACTAAGACATTGATTAACTCAACGTATTACTTTCAAGTACCCGACAACTTCAAGGCTAAGCTACCTAACGCAAAGTATCTAAAGTACCTACCTAGGCAACCTTAGTAATCTTACATGTTGAAGTTAAAGTAGCTAACTTTAATATTGATTACGGACCCCACACCTGATCTAATCATCCTTCACTCCACCCACTCACGACCACTTACACGAAGCGACGCGGGAAAGCCATCTTCACCTATACACCTAACTAACCTAGCTTCAATTTTGGCTTTCTTTTTGCCTCTTTGTTTTTTTCTTTTTTCTTATACCTTTTTCTTTACTTTTTTTTATATTTTTATTTTTTTTTGCATCTTTTCTTTCGGCTTCCCTCCCTCTTTGTCCTTCTCGTGGCTGGCTGGACTCGAAGAGATTCGCGTCGAATAGTCTCAGCCCTTTCGCATTTTCCCGGACGGGCGAGTTGGGTGAGCGTGTCTCGCTCCACCCGTCTCGTCCACTGTGCGCCGGACAATCAAAGGAGACGTCTTTGGCTGCCCTTACCTTGGCGACCCCCTTAATCCAGCATGCTGATCTCTCGGCTGAACACGCGCAACGAAGCGATCTATTAGCCATCGTCATCGTCATGGCTGAATTTTGTCATCCCGCCGCGGCCGCCGACCGCGAAGACGCCGATCTGTCCGCCGAACCCCAAGAACCAGGACCCCTGAAGTGCTGCTGTGGTTCTGTGGAGTGCATCTTTCTAAGACATAATTACTCTGTTCTCGCTAGTGTCGAGAAGGATGTCCACAATGCTGCCCGGATGGGCCAGGTACGTCTTCTGTTACGTGGTCATTACCTGTATGTCGGGTGTGTCGAGATACAAGCCACAAGAGCTCCTGTAGTAGTAGTAGTCTAGTCGGCTTCGCCTGCAGCTCTCTTATATCATATCACATCACATCACATCACATTCCATAGTTTGTTTATCCCCTACTATAGGCAATAGGCAATAGGCAATAGGCGAAGTGCTACTTTAGGAATGTGCCTTGGCGTCGCTGTGTCGTTTTACTCGTTGTGTATTTGCAATCTGCATTCCAGAACACCTGCGTCGTAACAACTCTCTGCGCAAGCAGTCAGCCATGACGGTCTACCAGTCTCTAACATTTGCGTTGCAGGCCTTGCTCGCGCGTCACGAAGCTTACATGGCAGATGCGGAACGAGATCGTGCTGAGCTCGCTGCTCGGATTGAGCAGTTAGAAGTTGATAACAGGGAGTTGGAGGCTAAGAATGCGAAGACGATTGAGGATAACAGAAACTTACTCGACCAGCTCGAGGCGCTCAACAACACGGTCATCGATTCTGAAAGTCACATTAGATCCCTCGAGGCCTCCGTCCTTTCCTCGCAACAGTCAGTTCGTAGGCTCGAGGGCGAAACGGCGCGTGCTGCTGCATTAGAGCGCCAACTTCTAGTCCTGGAACAGGAGCAGGCCGAGCTACAGAGCCACCTGAGTTCCTCTCGTGAAGAGGCTAAATCTGCCGTATCGAGATGGAAGCGAGCCGAAAGGGGTATCAGTGACTTACAAGAACAGCTTGAGCGAATGGAAAGAGAAACGCAAGAAGAGAGAGAATACCACGTTGAAATGATAGGCAGAGTAGAAAGACAGCGTGAGATGGAAAAGGAGTTGAATACTGCCGCTGGCCGACTAAAGGGAGCAGCAGCAGCTAAATCGCTCGATCGCGTCATCGGAGGAGGGAGCAATGCCGTATCGCACTTTGTCCGTGATCTGCTCCAAGACAACGCCAACCTGCAATATGGTATCGCCGAGTTGCGGGAGATGCTTATGAATTCCAACGACGAGATCCAGGCTTTGCGCGACCAGCTCATGTATCACCAGCCATTAGGAGACGAACTAGCCAATGCTGCCTGCACGCTTAGCGCGGAGCTCGAGTCTGAAAAGGAGTCGCCTGAGAGGATACCTCCTAAGACTCCACATGAGCTTCATATCCACCACCATTTCCATTTACCGAAATCGAAACAGGAAGCGAAAAAGCCGCGGAAGAAACGTCAAGGAATTGCACCAAGCACACCTCCAAGTGGCCCCACGCGATCACAGCTTGGTTCGCATACGCATACGCATAGAGATTCGCTCCTCTCCAATTGTTGGTCAACATATTCAGACCAACCGTCTGATTTTGCACTCTCATCAGTCCCGAGCTCGCCTCTGTCAAACCGCCGAAATTCACTTTTCGACCACCATACAATAGACTCATTCCCCACTTCACCCACGACCAGTATCGACCCATTATCTCCTACGTGGCATGCTACTCACCAGAAGCAGCTGTCGAGCGTATCTTCGCGAAGTTTTCGATTCTCAACAACATCAGCCCTCGTACAACCATTCGTTACTGACACCCATCCAATTATCGAAGAATCTGACGATGGGGATAACCCTCCAGATCTAACCTCAGCTACCGACGAGTCTACCGTAGAAGATGCAGCTTCTTCCGGGGACCAAGACGCTATGATCGATGATGTTTCTGCCGTAGACGTAGATGAGCCAGGTGGTAATCCAATACCGATAGTCCGGCTACGTAGAGCTCTATCGCACGAATCCATCATATCGCTCTCCGGCGGCCTCGATATCCACACATTAAAGTCTCGGCCGAGTCAGCTGAAAATCCGCCACATAGGTTCGGCCTCTTCTGTGACGGGGAGTAGTCATATTACAGCGCGGCCTATGTTGTTACGCGATAGCGCAAAGCGAAGTAGCACGCTACTCCGTGAAAGATATGCCTTATCGCCGGTAGGAAGTTTGCAATCCGTCTCAGACTCATCCATGCTAGGTTTCGGGTCGTCAAAACTTAGTAAATGGGTTGGCTGGCGGCCGTGGGGTGGTGGTGGTGGTGCTGGTGGTGGTGCCGGTGGAGATAGTAGTTCTACCGCGAGTAGTACATCCGCAAGAACGGTCAAAGATAATAGTCAAAAGTCGAGTGATCGTCCTCCTGGTCGTCTTCCTGGTATCAATCAGCAGGGCGCGATACCCGGGTTTTCCGAATACTTAGCTGCGGCTCAACGAAGAGTGCCGCCCCCCAAGATCCGACCTGACGATGTGGATCGCGATGCGTTAAGGGAAGGGCTCGGAGGATAACGACATTGGCGTATGCTAGCTTGGAACTCGATTATCGGGATGCAGTGTCCCGTGTTTTCACCTGTACTACACATCAAACCCTGCAAGCCCTGGCTCCGAACACGCTGTTTGGTTATTTTATCCTGAACTGCATATGTATGCGCATACCCGATGTTAGGTTATTGGATAGGACGCACTATCAAGCTACCTTTTTTTATTAATATTTCTCTTTTGCACACTCAGCATCGCGGGGGAGTTGGTCGTTGGTCGTTGGTCGTTGGACATATTCAGGCGAGAGAAGACCTCAAAGCCGAAAAGCATTATAGGATGGGATGGTATAAACATGGACATAATGATACCCCTGAGAACAGCCAGTCGGCTTATTCGCCAGCTCTCATCGTACTTTCTTTTGTCTGTCCATATCATTAAGGTAACGTAATGTAATGTAATGTATTTTTTTTTTTTTTTTTTTTTTGCCGCAAATACGTTGGCTTGCCTTGTACTGTATATTCTGCGTCTAGATACGGGATTTGCTGGGAGGGATGTACAGATAGTTAGATAACTACCTAGTAAGACGGATGTTTGTCGCGCAGAGAGTGAGGGAGATAGGGGAGAAATAGCAAGAAATAATAGCAATGTATACTTGTTTTACGTCCGCCGGCCTGTATGAATATATGGCTTCTTGAAATTCCTAGATAGTGGTATGAGCTGTGAGAGAATGACATTATAGGTACGCTGAGTTAATGTTAATTACAACAACAATTCAGCATGTGAAAACCCCGCTATCGCTATCACTTCGTCTATCTAAGTTGCTTTTGACCTTAATTCTGCATATGAATTACGACTCACATGGAGTTTAATCTTCATTACTTGGTATCGGATATATCGAACTCCAATATTCACGCCCCGCCCTTTTACAAAAACACCACGGAGTATTGCGATATAAAACTACAAAAATTATCTTTTGTTATATTCCTCAAGACCGAGTAAAAGCATGACGAGACGCAATGTACAAATACGACTACATATATGAGGTATATATAGGTACGCATCTCAATCCCAAGCCAGAGTGCTAGCAGTCTCCCCATGCGTGGCCAATTACAATATTATGAGCATATAGTGTAGGTATATACCTAGGTAGGTGCCTAATGTATGTAAACCACCCTAATAAAGACAACAAGTGTAAGATAGGGCAAATTCCCTCCGCTTAGTCTAATACGCAGAAACAACCAGATTACAAGCTATAGGATAGGATAGGATAGGTAAATAAAAGATGATAACTCCTCTATCCGCCCTTCGCCCTTCGCCATGCTTATTCCGCACTCGGTATACCCGGGGAGCTTATAGTAGATAAATAGCCCTTGTAGGCCTAGAACGGAAAGGGTGTCGTTTAGTCACTGTTAATTCGTTAGCCGTTTCGATGCCTCTTATCATCGAGAGATGCGCAAGATTGATGGGTAATACGTACTATATTTCCTTAGGCGCCAACAGGTCGGCCTGATACAGCCAATGGTTATCCTTCTCCTCGACTTCGAGCCAGTCGTAGGGAAACTGCACCAGCGTCCCTTGAATCAATCCACACAGCTCCTCCGCCTCATCGCGGCTGAGGAGTTCATACGGGAAGGTCGGTCCGCGTCGGCTACCCTTAGTAGTGGCTCGTCGGCGGCGCCTCGTTGAATTGTGGTTGTAGGGGTTAGCGGTGCTGCTAGATTCTGGCGCGGATTTCTCGGCCGATGAAAACGTGGCCCGCCGATCCCGCTTCTCACCCTGGGGTTCCAGGTATGTGGAATCGACCTGGCCCTCATACGCCGGGAATGGGGTATCTCCGGCGGGCTGTACTAGCGATGGTGTTTCGAGAGAATTCTTGGTACGAACCCTCTCTGGGTCCAAGCCAATATCAGGCCCCTCTTTTTCAGGAGAATGATTGCCCTCGGAGATCGGAGCCTTTTCGTTCAAAACAGTCATGTTTCCATTAGAAACTACGACTTTGGGATTGCTCTCCGTGTGTTGATCATGGAGCTTTTCGGAGATATCAGGAGCTCCCTGTGCCGCGGCTGGCGCCGCGATACCTGCTGCTGCTCCACCAATGTGGCTCATCTGACTCGCCTCAGACTCATCATTCCTTGGTCCTACCATGCTCTCCCTAAATCGGCGCGCATAATCTTCAAACTCGTTATATTCCTTCCACGTGGTTACCTCACTATCAGGCATACATCGGAAAACCCGTCGATACAGCTTCGTATTATTTGAGGCAACTCTCATCCAGATATCATCCCAGAAAGCAGAGTTAACAGGATCACGCATGCAGTCCTTGTCAATCCGAGCTTGTACGATGTCCGCAACTAGAGGGTTCAGGGGCTCATTTGTAGGCTTTCCCGAATCGTCCAATCTCATCGGAGGGCCGCCTATATCGGTATCATCCAAGACTGGCAATGCTGGAAGCTGTACAGGATGCGGTAATTGAGACCTCGCTGACGGGTCTGACTGGACCGGGGGCAATTCATCATTCCCCTTGCTAAGGTTACGCTGTGATGAACCCTTAGAAGACGTCTCCGGATGCAGCTCGCTAGTCTTAGTGTCTGCCTTATGATTCTTGGAGCGACCCTTTCTATGAAGGAGGACCTCGTGCCCGTTCATAACAACTGAATCACTTCCAAGATCAATTCCTTTAGCTTGCGCCGCCTTCCAGTTATCCGGCCCATAACCCTCGACGTCCTTCTTATGCCTTTCATCGTGTACTCGTGGATCACGCTCTGGTGAGTTGCCTCTTGAACTAGACGAAACAGACGACGCCGCAGAAGAGGCAGACGCAGAGCCAGGGCCTTCTTCTGCGGCAACGTCATGGTTAAAACTTCGTCCGCGATGGTACTTGCTTGGCCCTGCGGGCTCTGAACTCTCCGCAGCTGGATTTTCATCGTCATCTCCATACAATTGGTTCATCTCGGCTTCGAAGCGGGCTTCGGCACTGAGCTCTGCCTGCCTCTCTTCTTCTGTTATCTCATCTACGTCCAGCCCAAGATGCTCTCTCATCAGACGCATACGAAGAGTGTGGGCGAATCGGCCAACCTGGTAAGTCTCTCCTGCCATTGTTGACCACATCATATCCGTATCTCGAACAATGGCAGCAACTTCAGAGTCTCGGTTGCCTAGCATTGAGCGTTCGTTGATATTTGCTGACCCAATCAATGCAACACGGTCATCCACGATGATGGTCTTAGCGTGAATATAGAGTTGCTCGGTCACGATCTGATTATGAGCACCGATCCGACCCCATTGCCTCAAACTAAAGAACGAGATATAATCTTCTGGTTCTATACCAACGGCCTGTAACCGTCCAAAAATCGAATTTGGGCCTCGGCATATGCTTCGGTATTGGAATTGCATGATCAAACGAACGCTACTGCCCTCGGCTTGATCTACCGTATTCTGGAAACCAGGCACGAGGGGGATTAAGATGCAACAACGCCACTCCTCGCCTTTCTCGTGGGCTCTAATAATGCGCTCGACTAGGGCATCCCCGATACGGTTGACCACCCTAGTGTTCATAGTCTCGGTACTCGTAATGAAAAATTGGTTTTCCATATAGACGAAGTGCTCAGATTCTTCAATGAGCTTTACATATGCTGACTGGATACTGTGCTCCCTTATGTCTTTCGGATAACCCAGGGACCAATCGCCTGCCGAACGCAGGATCTGGACTTCGCATGTTCCAGACAGACCAAGAGCCTCAAGGTCTACCGGGTTAGCATCGGGGGGGGGAAGTAAGAAGGGGGTAGGCCGAGTAGGTTTGCGTTCACGCCGTAGGTAATTCCATCGTTGTACAAAATGGCGGGTAAGATCACGCGCCGGCTGGCCAACTACTTGCATCGCAATATCATGCCAAGGCATCCTCGGTACGTTGCTCCTATCGTACATTTCTTCATAAGGCTCGTTGAGTTTGAAGAAGTCCAAGACACGGGGATTCGAATAATCCTTGCCAGGGAAAAGTTGACAATGTTCTGCGTCTCGGGGGCTGTCTCCGTCTGGCTCCATGCCGGTTGGCCGATCATCTGCAATTGGGTGCTGCGGGTTATCCCAACGGCCGAAACAAAGATCGATTCCTCCAAGGAAGGCTACATCGTGGTCCACGATGCAAACCTTCTCGTGATGGGCGTAAAAGAATTGGTTCTTTTTCAGCTGATTCGGCGACCTCAGGACTAGGATATTATCGTGGAGGTTAAGGAGCGAGAATTTTGTGTACTCCGAGTCTATAGGTATAGCTTGCTCCACGTTTCTGTAAATAATGATAAATATCTTGACGCCTTCTCTGGCTTTCCTCTGGAGCAACCGATCCAGACGCCACTTCTGGCTAATGCACGCCGGTCGTCGCATATACAACTCGGGGCTCAACCACCAGTCATGAATGTAAATGACATCTTGCGCCATGCTTATAGCACGGGAAACATTCCACATATAGTCACGCCCATCGACTAGCCACTGAGCAAATGCTGCCTTCCGTACAGGTGCAAAACTGTCAAATCTGTGAGGCTCGTGCCATTGAGTCTGCTTCAGCATATCAATGACAGATTCTTCAAATTGTCGAAGTACTGTCTGATTACGGGAGAACAACTTGATTTTTCGATCCGCAGAATATAGCTTTAGCGTGTGGTGTTTCCCATGGGATTCTTCGTCGGTAAGATGATTGTCATCGTCTCCTCTATCTTTCTCGACTTTCAACTTTGCCCCGAAACGTTTGAGCTTGTTCTTCTTAGATACGACGCGGAAAAGCGGATCGACAAGATAAACATCATAAATATTCATAGTTGCCGGCGATTCGACAACAGCGATATAATTCTGTCGGACTAAAAACCATTTTCGAGAGTGCCGTGCTATGACCTTTTGCGGATTGAGCACTCGTCGAAAGTCGATACCTTTCGTGGATTGTATATGCAAGTAGCATTCTTTTCCGTGAAAACTGCCTTCGGCAGCTAGTCGCACACCGAGAGCGGAGAGCTCTAAGAATTTGCAGAGGCGATTACTGTCAGCACGGAACATGAGCCAGTGAACCATCTCTTGTAGGTATTTCTCCAAGGTTTTCCTCTGCCTCTCGATATATTTCTTCTTTAGTGCTGCCGAATTCTGAGCACCCGCAAGTGACGTCTCCCCGTTGTCTCCAAGTCCTGTGGATTGTCGGCGTGGCAAGAATGTGTTGATGCGCGATCTCTTCCTAGAGCTATTTACCCGCCGATCGTTGTCGCTAGCTGTGTTTTCAGCGGCGGTTCCTTCGCCTGCGGTGCCTTCAGCAACTGTATCATCAGCTCTAGTCCCCGGCGGCTTTTCTTCGTCGTCGGATTCCTCAAGGTTTTGGTAAGTCCGTAAATAGGGGAAAGCCTTTCTAGGAAATCGAGGCTGTTTAGGGCGATTCCGTTGGTTTACCGTAGTCTGAAGCGTGATGTCGTTTTTTAGAGATAATCTGTACTTCCAATGAATATTCCAAATTTCTCTAACGCTGCGGGTAACGGTCCATCTCATTCGACTGAGCCCACTACCATACTCCAGGGCGATTGTAAAGATAGTATGTCTCTCGCTGGTACTATCTTCTGGACGACTGTCGATGACTCGTAGGTTAAGCTGCTCGAGAAGGACAGGTATGCGCTTGTTCCCATGCTCGTCTCTCTGCAGCATACTGGCGAGGATGACAACAGCCGGCGTCACAGCCCGTAGTTCAGCCATGAGTTCGGCAGACTTGTAGAAATCGAACTGATCTGTCCTCCTCTTGCCAAGCATTTTCAGTGTATGCTTCACCTGCCTCCATCTCTGAGCACCGAAAGTTGCAGCTCGATCCGCGCCTAAGAACGGTCGTCTTGGTGCTGCCAACCAGTCGCCATCCGATACTCCGCCACCTGCTCCAAACATCTCAGAAATGCGACGGCGATGACCAGGTGTACGAGGCTGAGGAATATCAGCATCATCGGCACTGGGATGTCCAGTCCGCTGAGAACCAATCCACGAGCTCCCACGCGTCCACGCAGGCCGCCGACCGATTAGGTGGTCACGACCTTCTCCCTCAGACATCCCACCACGATGCTCGGCGGCCTCGGGCATCGTCGAGCGTCTAACCATAGTGTTCAAACGGCCCGTCCTGGGTGATTCAAGATCATCAATCCGCGGAGAATTCGGAGCAGTAAACATCTCCAACTGCTTTAAACGGCGTCGCATCCTCTTCCTTTTGCTCTTGGGCGCATCCCTATCTTGGCCTTCGTCAGCACTCGCCTCCACGTCAGCATCGCTTCCTTCCTCTTCATCCAGAGTATTCGGAACACGATGAGACCGGCCTACGACTGGAGAAGCATTAGCCGGGGCGGATGCCTGCTCAGAAGCTCCAGGGGACTTGGGTGGCTGGAGGGTACCAGAGCTGCCCAGAGTCGATCTCAGCCTTGAAATCCATCTCTCGCTACGAGATCTATTCTTTGTATCCTCGTCCTCCTCGTCCCATGAACCATGTCTAACATGGCGTGGAGGCTCAAGCAGCACATCCGTGCGAGCAAACTGTACACTACGCCGTCCAGTTGAAGTTGGTTCCCCCTGTGCTATAGCATCTCCGTCCGGTATTTGCACTTCGGAATTTCTAAGGGGAGACGGGGATCGTACGGCGGCGGCCTGGCTTAAGAAAGTAGGCGTTGAACTATTGAAGGGGGAGAGGCTGTCGTGCGGCCGCCCCCCGTTTACATAGTCGGTTGGTTGTTCCGAGTCCGACTTCGAAGTAGATTGGGTCGACGATGCATCAGGAAGTGATAGAGTATGAACGGGTACGGCAGCGGTTGGTAGATTGTCGCTCGGAGATGTAGAGGAGGGCGCGTTAAGCCGTGTATGTATGGGAGAAGAGGCACGGGGACTCCGCGTCATAGGTGAAACCGAATCATCTCGGTCTGGAGTGGACATATTACGTGCCAGGTCAGTGTCCAATTGCTAGAGGACGTAAGGTTTCTGTTGCAACTTGAAGCCAGTCTAAGTCTAGGCTTTTCCGACTGAGCGGAAGATGCAGACGTCCCTTGCAGCTCTGACCGTTTTCTTACTTGCGTTAGATAGTATTTACATTCCCACGGACGAGCTGTAACAGGATTTGCTAGTGTCGAGTCTCGCGTGGATTCGAATTAGATGCGTAGCTGTCAAATAAAAAGGAGTGCAGTTTGTCCAGAGTGAATTATATTGATGTAAGAGGTAGGTTAGGTAGGTATGGATAGTGCAGGTATGCATGCAGGTGGATGCTTGGATGCTACAAAGTACATGTATGTAAATTGTCCCTATTTCTAAATGTAAATGTACGATACATACCTAATGTAATGTATGATATCAAGGTACTTCGTACTTCGTACTGCGTCTTATGTCTACACGCCAGGGGCCCACTAAAGAGTAAAGCTAGCTGAGGGGACTAATCAAGCTAAGAATTTACAACCAACAGGGGCTCCCCATGCCTTATCGATAGGCTAGTTAAGGTTCATTTCAGGGGTTCTCATTATCTGCTAACCTTGTCCCAATTTTGGAAGAGCTCTTTTGGAAGTGGGACGTCATCAAAGCAGCAAAGCCGGTTCCAAGAACATAAAAGTTTGAGTTACTTTTCTGGCCAAACGTTCTCCTATCATTATATCAGCATCGCGACCATCGCACTTAGTTCCGATACCTGATCGACTACATAGGTCACAGACCTTTTCCCCCTACCACTAATACCCAAGATTGGTTTTAGGAGATGAGCGATTATATCTTACTAGTAATAACTTCCCGCCCCCCTAACAACACAACCATGCCAGTGAGGTTAGAGATATCTAGACCTAAAATGCTATATTATCTGAGCAGTTTAGATAGAACTGGGCTTAGATAAGCTTCGGAGTAGATACTTACATAGGTAGTATTATACCTAACTACCTTAACTAACTAATATAAGCTAGGTATCGCGGTCCAATGATAGCGTTAGAATAGACCTTATACTACACTTAACACGAACTGTTGTAAGTTAAAACAATATTTAAACAGGTATCTCAACCCAATATTTTCTAAATACCTTCTATAGAAGTTAAATCTTGCTAGAACATTTTAAACAAGACATTGTCTCTTGATTTAATTTGGCTATTTCTTTCGAGTATTAATTTCCAGCTCTTCATATGCGAAGAGGAAGAACTAGCCAAATATCTAATATGTCTTTCCTAGCCCAAGTTATAGATATACAAACCATATAAATGTATAACTATTCCGGTATGTCTCGTTTAAATAAGGCTCGAAGGCACTCACAAGAAGTAGCAAAGATGCTACATCTCCGCCTAACATCGGAGAAGAGAGTGAGGTGTACTAATGACATGTCTCCAGATTTATCTCATCAATTATTAGGTACTTATTAGAAAAACTCGGTGTCTCGATAGGCTTTAGATAATTTAAATGGCCGAGTCACTAACTCACAAAGCTCCAGAAAAGACTTAGGCCGGACTCATAGGGGGCGTACATATAAGAGAAGAAGCCATCTCAGTGTGTATATATAATGTCATGTGTTTGCTCACGCTAGTTCTTGAATCATAAGGGGTAATAATATACCTAACGTTTCTGAATAACCGCTCGCATCTATATCCCTGATATAGAGCTATCTGTGAAATGTTTCCTTAGATGCCATCAGAAATCATAGAGTAGTCACCGTTAGCATTAATAAGGCGACAACTATACCGACCCCCTATGCGTGTCTCCTTCATACCACGGCAGCTACATATATATTCTCAATACACTTGATTGCTCGTACGATTTTCCTCTGCCAGCACGAACTTCGCATCCTCGCGCATTTCGGTCTTATGCTCGCAAGGCGCGAACATGCGATAGCTAAGTGGTAACACCATAGCTACCTTAGATAATTTCATCTATTTGGTTACATATTGAAGTTGTAGTGGAATAAAAGGGGCTTACACCGAGATGCTTATACGACGGCGTATCATAACCTCGGCCATATGCGACACCGGCTTCCTACCTACAAGAGATAACTGCTTGCGTAGTTCAGGTTCCCTTTCAAGTATACGCAGCGCAACCACATATCATAATTTGTTCTATGAGGGTTGCGTCCCTCGTTGTCGATCTCGACCAAATGGTGGAGATAGCTGAGCCATATCTTACGCCCTATCGACGACACGGGATTCGGGTGTGGAGAACCCACTTCGAATAATATCTTACGTTGTAGCCCTACAACAATAAGGATATAACCCGGGAATTGCCCTTCGGGTATAGCTAAGGTAGGCAACCCTATGTGGATGACATGTGTCCATAGAACGGTGTCTCGAGGATATCCATCAACAACTACAACGACTCTCATGACCATTCGCAAGGCGATATTGTTCTTAGTAACTGACGTCGGCAGTAGTGAAATGGAAAAGGTCCGGAGTTACTAGAGTTATGATAACACTTCATTTCAGCGAGGACTTTGGCTTGCTAGTTGTATTAAGAACCTCTAGTCTGATATAAAACCGTCGTCATCCCTCGCCTTTATTGTAGAGATCCTGACTAGTTTCCTCAACTCAAGTCATAGCAAGCTCACCGATACTCCTATCGACTGGACAACCCCTTTTACCTACAGTTTTCATCATCGCTTTGCAAACCAAGCCTCCCGAGGTGTTTCAGAGTCCAAAATGGCCAACATATCTCCCCAAACTGTAGACGAGAGAATTAGCAAGTTCGGCAAACTATGGATGATCGATGACCTTATCCGCGAGCGAGGAAAAGACGACGAGCAAGTTCCGATTCTTGGGTATCCCCGGTACGACCATAGTGCTGCTGAATATGAGTACTTCACGGGCAAAGATCTCGATCGTATGGTTGATGGTGCCTGTCGAGCTCTGGTACAATCTGGCATTGGAGTAAACTCGAGAAAGACAGTTGCACTTTTTGCACCTTCGGACTTGTCTTTCGCCATCATATTTTTCGCCCTGTTCCGCTTGGGATATAAGGTCCTGGCTTTGTCGATTCGCCTGAATCCGCCAGCATGTCTCCATCTACTCCACCAAGCTGGGTGCGACACTATACTTTACGGAACGACTGCTCGCATTGATTCGGTTATGGCTGACATTAGGGAGGCCCGTCAGGACCTCATGTTCATCCCAATGCTAGCTAGGGCAGATTTCGACAGGCACGAAGCTTCTCCGGAGCCTTTTTTGCGTGATATCCCTATCAAAGAGATGGAACACGTCCAGGCGACACTAATGATGCATTCATCTGGATCTACTGGCCTTCCCAAGCTATTGTTTCTATCTCATCGGAGTCTTTTGGCATCTGTGGTCTCAGGAACTGGTCTCAAGGCGTTCAACCCCTTGCCCTGGCATCACCTACATGGTCTGATAACTTCCATACAAGCCATGTGGATGCGTAAGACGGCTCACTTGTTTAATGCGCACTTGCCGTTAACGGCAGATAATCTGATTTCAGCTCTCAAGTCGGTTCAGCCCGAGATTTGTCATACGGTCCCCTATACGCTGAAGTTAATAGCAGAGAGACAGGACGGAGTAGATGTCCTGAAGAGGTGCAAGTTTGTGACATCAGCCGGGGCTAGGACTCCGGACGAACTTGGAAATCGAGTAATCGAGCAGGGTGTAAAGCTTGGTCTCATATTTGGCTTGTTCGTCCCCCCTCACAATTACACACCATGTTATCAGGCTAACCTGTTTTAGGAACTGAAGTCGGCCATATGGGTGGTTCCATCCATCGTGAACCCGGCGATGATTCTTGGAATTATATCCGGCCATACGCTAACTTGCGCGAGCACATGGCCTTCAAGAAGTTCGACGATAGTACATACGAGATTATATACCTGAATACTCATCCTGCACTTATGACTACTAATGCGGATGACCCGCCTGGCTCTTTTCATTCAGGTGACCTCTTCGTCCCTCACCCTACGATGGATTGGGCCTGGAAGTACGTTGCCCGTGCCGATGATAGGGTGACGCTTCTGAGCGGAGAAAAGATTCTTCCATTGGGCATGGAGGGCACTGTTCGCGAGAGTCCACTTGTGAGAGATGCCCTAATGGTTGGTAATGATCGTCTCGTGCCTGGCCTTTTGGTGTTTCGCTCTATGGCCGCCGCTGGTTTATCAGACAATGAGGTTATCGAGGCCATTCGACCCTATGTAGATAGAGCGAACAATATCGCCGACGAGTTTGCGCGTATCACTCCCGACATGATAGTTCCGCTCGCTGCTAATGTTGAATATCCCGTTACCGACAAAAATAATATCATCCGTGCTGCCGCATACGCTCGTTTCGAAAATGTAATCGAGGACCTATACACAGGAGACAAGGATACCACCAATGGGCAGGAGCGCAAAAACCTAGCGCTCGATATTGGGCAACTTGAACAGTTCATACTAGGACTCATCCGCGAGCAAGCAGGCATCGAAGTACCAGACATCGAAACCGATCTCTTTGGCGCGGGAATAGATAGTTTACGTGCTGCTCAGATACGCAGATTATTGCAACGAGACCTTGACCTTGGCGGACATTCACTACGTACTAACATCGTCTACGATGCAGGGTCTGTAGCAAGCCTCGCCCGGCTCCTCTATGCAATGCGCACCGGCGAGGAACTTGAGAATACACGTCTAAGTGACGATGATGAAATAGTGAAGATGCAGAGGATCATTGCCGACTATAGTAAATTTCAAATGTGGTCACCAGGGAGTCTGTCGGCACCTGAAAGAGATATTGTGGTAAGCCTTTCCCATGAACCTCTCTCCTTTCTTCCCGCCTTTCCTCCGGTGTTTGTGGGTAACAAATGAACATAGATTCTCACGGGTGCGACCGGCAGCCTCGGCGCGCACTTACTCAACCAACTCCTCGACGACCCTAAGGTAGAGCGTGTCGTTTGCCTTGTACGGGGTAGCGGCGCCTTGGCTCGTATCGCCGAGTCCATGAAGATTCGGAAACATGACGCACGTGTGAGCAGCAACAAGAAGCTGACAGCTCTGACAACAAACAACCTAGGCGCCCTAAATCTTGGCCTCCCGCCAGAAAGCTACTCAGACCTGCAGCAGTCGGCAACCCTTATCATCCACGCAGCATGGCCGGTAAACTTCAACGTGTCTCTCACGAGCATGATCCCTCACATAGCTGGACTGCATAATCTCCTGAAGTTGTCATTAAGAGTTCCATTCAGCCGTCCCGCGCGTCTCCTATTCGCAAGCAGTATCTCGACCGCGTTCCAAATGCCCACGCCCGCCAACGTACCCGAAGGGCCCTTGTCATCTCTCAGCTTCGCAGCGCCGACAGGGTATTCGCGCTCAAAGCTCATAGGCGAGCGTATCTGTGCGGCCGCCGCAGCGTGCGGGGGTGCGGTTGGCGTCTTACGCATAGGCCAAATTTCAGCCGACACTGTCAACGGAATCTGGAACGATAAAGAGGCTATCCCGATCCTAGTCCGGAGTGCGACAGAGGTCCATGTGCTACCTCGTCTCGAGGGAGACCACGACATTTGTGATTCGATGCCGGTGGACACGGTGGCTCATGCGTGTCTGCAGCTTGCCGAGAAGCTCGATACAAACACGAACAAACCGTCATTCTATAATATTAAACCACCGCATAAGTTTTCCTGGAACGAAGGTTTCTTGCCGGCATTGCGGAAGGCAGGTTTGCAATTCGAGGATGTTGATCTCGGAGAGTGGCTAGCGAAGTTGCGCTTTCGAGCTGCGGATCTAGGGCCGGCTGCTGAAGTAAAACTGCCTGCGGTTAAGCTCGCGGACTACTACGAAGACACGTATAGCGGCTTGGGTGTTGGCTTAGGTCCTGGGTTGGAATTTGATATACAGAAGGCTTGTTGTGATAATAGTGCTCTCCGCCTGTGTCCAAATGTCTTAGACGCCGATCTTGTGCCAAAGATGTTGTGGCATTGGTTGGGCGGCACTACTACAAATAAACAACAGTGAAGACATGGTATTGCAAGGGATGGAGTAGTTATATCTTGCTATATATTGTGTAGAGTAAAGCGACGTAAATAAATTAGGGGGGTATCAATTGGGCGATCTCTCCTCAGGCTATTGACACTATGGCAGGTTGAATATATACCTAGGTGCTCATAAGACTCATGACGCGTTATACAGAAGTAAGGACGACCTAGCTTTAATATAGGCAGTTCTGTAATTCAGAGGAGGCTCTTAATCCAGGCCTAAACTCCGATAAGTTCCAATGGGAGAATAATCATTACAATAACCTCATCATATCGGCATCAGAACCCGTAACACCTAATCATGACTCGTCACCAACCGGGCTACCAACTCTCATCATCCATGCCTACTCGCCTCGACTCCGATAGTTACCCATCTTCTCGATGGAACTCATGATGCCGCTCCGCATAGCCGTGCCACTACCGGGGCGTGGCAGACCCCCCTGAGATCCGCCATTCCTACTCCGGTCATGAGCAATGCCGCCAATCCTACTGTCCGTCGGTTTCTTTACCGACCCGGGAGCTCTGAGACCCGACGGCCGGCTGCCGATGCTGTTGCGGAAATTCTCGGGGCGAGTGTGCTGGGTCTTGGTAACAGTCGGCTGTGACGGCGGCGGCGGCGGCGGTTCCGTCTGGACAAAACTCTGCATCGACATCAGTTCTTCCGCTAAGATGACAAGCTCGCCCTTCTCGACGCGCTCCTTTTCGAGGAGCTGGCGGAGATCATGATTATCCATCTTAATGCTGTCGATGACAGCTTCGAGTTTCTCGATCTCGGCGCCCATTTCCTTGATCTGCGCTGAGTTCCTGATAGCCTGGACCTTGCGTTCCTCGTCTGCGAGGGTTTGATCGGGATCAACCCTGGTCATGGTGACGTCCTGGTTGAGTCTTAGTTTCTCGTTCTCCTCGGCAAGCCCCTCGATTCTAGACTCGAGCTCGTGGACCTTCTTTTCCCAGCGGTTCTCGTAGCTCTTCTTCAAGGCCGCAACCTTGGCCTCATGCTTGCTTTTGTAAAGCACGTGTAATTCACGAGCCACACGCTCCACAGCGATTTCGACCTCGCGAGATCCGGTATTCTTAGTCTTATCGGGAGACTTGTTACCACTCTCCGCTTCTGAGGTGGCTTTGCCAGCGCGCATGCCTGCCATTTTACTCTCTGCCTCCTGCGCCATAATCTCGGCGGCCTCGCGTCGTTTCTCACTCTCATCTAACTTGGACTCTAGTTCCTCGCGCTCTCGCTGGCTCATTACGATTTCTTCTTTAACCTTGCGGAGTACAGTCTCCATCTCCCGGCTGCGCGCCTCCCAATTCTCCCTCTCCTCGGCCATCGCTTCCTTCATCGCCCTTTCTTCACGAACCTGTTCCATGCTTTCGCCCACCCGTTTTTCAGCATCACCCACCGCCGTCTTCAGAGCCAAAACTTCGGCTTCTTTACCGCTAAGGGAAGCCTTAAGGCTACTAATTTCGGAGAGGAATCCCGACTTGAGCGACTCCAATTCTCTGGGTGTTACGGTAGGTATACTACGGGGCGTGGGAAGAGGCGGGATATCGAAGTCGAGCAAGTTAGATTGTTGGCGCTGAGGCGTTGCGGCAATAGAATGCCTCGGATTTCTGTCGAATGATTGACTCTGGTTCGGTGTCTGTTGTACATATCTGGACGAAAAGCCACCCATCTGTTCTGTAAAGTCCATGAGGAGATTGGTGGTGTTTCCGGATTCGTGCATCGTAGGAGGCCGAGAAGTCCTCAAAGGCGATGGTTCCGGTCTACTCCGCATGGCGAGGGGAGTAGCACCCGTGTTAGCGAACTTGGTAGGACTATGTCCAATTCTTGCGAACATGGTCATATTTGGCACCGCGGAGAAATTACTTAATGTGCTGATCATGGTATCGTCCGGGCCCAAGGATTCATTGCCGACTGGCTGATCGCCAATTGACGTAGACGTAGTGTCGACTTCGTTATCTTCGCCATCATCAAGCGTAGTATCATCGTCTTCAAAGATCTTGATAGCAGTTGCTAAACCCTCGTTTCGAAGAAGCGCTTCGTCAATGGATAAATGATGCTCCTTAACTTGGTGTTTCTGGATCTCCGGGGTTGGGGATGGGCTGCTATTGATTTTAACTGGGAAACGTTTCTCGGGGGATATCTTTCTAGAGCTCTTAGCAGCCGCGAACTTTCTGGGTGTAGGGGACTCCTCCTCGGCAGTGTTCTCTTTTGTAATTAAAATCTTCAAAGGGGAAAGTTCCGTGCCGGACAATATTCTAGAATGTCGCGACTTGGAGGGTGAAAAGTTTTCATGGCTTTGGCCGACCTTGTCTTTTTCCTCGTGCGCCTGAGATGCGAGGACAGGACTCGAGCCGCTAGTATCGCTAGCGATGTGTTCGCTACTCATGTTGGGGGAATGCGAGCTGATGTTGTATATATTAACTTGACGGTTAGTTGGAAGCGTTGTAAAATTCAGCACACCGGTACTAGAAAGACAAAGCGGTGAAGCCATTCAGGCTCAAGGAAAAGCGCTAGTATTTGCTGTCAAGACAGTTAAGAGGATTGTGAGGGAATAATGGAGACGAGTAGTTACTCTAGATGTATCTTGAATCTACAGTTTAATGCATAGCATACATGTAGGTAGCTCAAGAGCGGAGGAGGGCGGAGGGTGCCGGAAATTGGTTTCTTTTAGTTGTGCCCACTGCAATTTAATTGATTTAAATGTTTGTTTCATTTCTGGTTGACGGAGAAACGGGTAGTAGTACCTGTGCGTCAGGGCATCCACATACGTAATCCCTGCACCAATGCTCAATTTAGGGCTTAGCGTCATCCCTTGTACCACGTGAGGTAACGAGATGAGAGATAAAGACTGATAAGGGGGACTTACTGATAAGCAGGAAGGTCCTGTCCATCTGCTGTGTCCCTCAGGAGAAGGTTCCAAGTCCCTAAGGAGGTACGAAATACATCGATATTGGTAATGTTAATGTTGTGCAACATTGCCAACATCCAACATCCAACTAGCATCCCCCTTTTTCTTTAGTCAAACAAAATTGAATATATTTCAACTCATCTCCTAACCTTAGGTACCTTACCTAGCGTCATGCATCATGTATCCATACCTTGATCATTGATGTATCCATACCACTAGTATAGACTGTTTATTTCATACATAGGAGATTTTAATAGCCCAATCAGACATGCAACAAGCCAAACAAATGGCACTGTGGCGGGTAAGTTCTTCCACGGCTCGAAAAATTAAGACAGTATTCTAATTCTCTCTCTCAGAGTGGTCTAACGCGTGTGACTCGAAATCACATCTCTTCGGAGGCGCCCGTTCGAATCGGGCCAGTGTCGCGCATCATTTTTTTAATATCCAAAATATATTACCCCTTTCCTACCTACTTACTGATCCCGATGATATCCTTCCGTACCCAGGTATATATCACCCAATACCCTCTTATATCCTCCCCACAACATAAAATAGATGCTCGCTCTATCGTGGCAGATTACTCGAGTCTACCTCGTTCTGCGTCTTCGAGATGGCCGCTCCTCTGGCTCTTCAGAATCATCATCGTCATCATTCAAGATCCTCCGTATCGACGGTCTGTCGAGGAAGTCCAAATCTTTTAACTCTTGTAACTTCCAGTAGACCCACCAGAATCTACAGCGGGTAGCTGATTAGAACGGCTCAATCGAGGCGATAGTCAAAGGTTCGGGTAAAACTTACGAGTTCCCACTGTTGGTTAGTTCGTCGATCAACCACAATGCTAGTGGTTCACGAGCTGATCGAGATAAGTCGTAGAATTGCGGGTCGTTATAAATGCTTCTGGTAACATAACCCCGTATAATCCCCCCCACGGTGTTATGATTACAGGTTATCTCGTTCCACTCCCCCCAGCGCCTTATGGGATTTCTGATCCTTGGCGTATCCCGACTGGATATCAGTAAGTGAAAATGCTGGAAGTCGCGCGCCCTTATTTCTCTGATGAGCTCTAGATATGGGCTCTGTCTGTTTCTGGGAAGTTTGTCGAACCCGTCAATCACTAGGTACGTCTCGCCCGGTTCGACCCGCTCATTTGGCACAGGGAATTTCTCGCGACCCAGATCGCCTATGATTCTCAGGAGGACATCTCGAAGTTCTACATTGGTAGGATGCCTTGCAGGATGGAATTCTGTACACGTAGTATATAATTCCCGAAGGGCTGGGTATACGGTCTGGGGTGGGCAGAGTTGATCAATAACTGTACGACAAAATGCGCTGAAGTCGTGGTAGACAGGCGTCGACTCTTTCTCAAACACGTCATGTGTAGCGCAGAAGAAGTAGGCGAGAGAGTCTCGGGACCGGCCAGGGGACTCTAAACGACAGTTCTGCCTTGTACTGTCTATGACCGAGGTACAGAAGATTGTCTTGCCAAATCCCCCTGTAAATTTATACAATTAGCAACACCGATTTAAGAATACAACAAAACTACCTGGGTACCTAGACATACCATTACCTGTCAACCATACGAACGAAGACCTGTCCGTCTCCCAAAAATTCGGGAGGTTTGTGACCGATTGGTGAAATGGGGTTATTTTGTCCTGGACATCCGAGTTGTCATTAAGAAACTGGGTTTGGTCGAGAGGAGAAAGCCAACGGTGGATATTCATCCGCTCGACGTTCTCTAGATTATCGTGTACTTCAGGCTTGAGTTAGATTTATCATAAGTTTGTCTTCTCAAACTACTTACTAATACCCTCGCGTAGCTCACTCGGCTCCAGTAAGCCCTTCAGCCAGAGAGAAATATCATCGCGAGTCTCACACGTAAGATAATTCAACGGCATGTGAGGTATCTCGTTTCCCACTGTTTTTGGAAACAACACATAATGGACGGGCCCTCTGTTTTGGTATTTCTCCCCGACCCAACGCAAAAGCTGACCCCAATTAGGGTCATCTAAACCTCCGCCTGCTCCGACTGCGCGGATAAAACATGCCATGTTAGCTTTCAGGGCTTCTTACACAACTATATCATCCAGATAGACGCTGGAGAGAATTTGTAGGAATAGTGATCATTCCACTTACTGCCATATGTTAGCTGCTGTGGATGGACTTAGAGAAAGAAAAGAATGGCACAGTATTGGAAAGCCCAGGGTTACTCATACATACCCGACTACACGAAAAAACAAAAATCATGTCAGTTAGTTTCAACTTTCCTAAAGAATATTACTTGGAGGGAACAACAATGTAATCCTGCTTACTATTAGATGTTAGTTGGTGCGGATGAATTACTAAACGAAGGGTCAATTGGGTGTTCATTCAACGTACCATAAAATGGTTCTTGTAGAAATTATATTCATCAAAGCCTCCTGGACTGCTTCGTCTTGGACCACGTCCTAATGGGATAAGAAAACGTCCTGTTAGCTTCCAAAACCTAATATTTATATGGGTAGTGAGCGTATTCTCTAATGATCTCTGTAGAATATCGTCAAGAGCGAGTAATGATTTATTTAACTTACTATAATATGTTAACTTGGTACTTTACCCATCGAATTATTCAAGCACCCTGGGGAATCAACGTCTTGGGATAGATCTAACGTACCCTGATAATGTCGTGCAGACAAAACGATGTTTTCGGGATCCCTCCAGTGACCATGAGGATGGAAAACGCCATCAAAAGATTTTCGTTGGAATGATACTAGGTCATATTCATCCGACCTCCCGACAGGAGGGATCCCGCAATGCTTTTCAAGTAGGTCATCATAATTAGTAGTCAACAGCATCGCACCATGCCGGTGAAGTTGTCTCAGGCTGTCAAGAATACTTCTGTCGACAGTGATGTCGTATAAAGAGTGGAATTGATGTTTTAACCAACCCGCAAAAAGATCGGGACGTTTAGTAAAAAGCCCCTCCAGCCTGTTTATGGCTTCGAATTGGTCCTGCATTGTCCGATCCGGGAGGCTCAGCAATTCTCTCGCTCGCTCGATGTCGCGTCTATGTCGATCGGCGATTTGCTTAGCTTGGTCTTCGACATATTGAAATCCATTCTCGATTAGACCACCCCACTATGTAGAAGACGGCAAAAGTTAGATCATTCTCTTAGTAGGGGATTTTTCATAGTGTTGGATAAATCTTTTACGTTATGCACCCTGGGAAGCCCTAGTCAAAGCCCAGTCACAATTAAGTCACGCTGTGAAGAAAACAAATTTGGGTCACATACTCCCATACGTCTTCTCTCGGTGCTAGGGACCGCGTGTAGAGTTACTCCAGATCCAACGCATATTACCAACCTCCCAGCTTTTAATTCTTGTTGAAGTTTATGTATAGCTTCTGCTTGTCTTCTGTTGGCTTCTTTTTCCCTCTCAAGTTGATCAGGATCGGGGACATTTTTAGTCTGGCTTGGCTGAGGCGCTGGTTGCGGTGTCGGTGTAGGTGCCGGTGCCGGTACCGGTGCCGGTGCAGGAGCAGGAGCAGGAGCAGGAGCAGGAGAAGGAACTTGAGCTGGAGCTGGAGTTGGAGCTGGTGCTGGTGCTGGTGCTGGTGCTGGTTGTGGTGCCGGCTGTCCGGGTGGTGTTCTAGGTGTGGCGGGTGTAGCGGGTGTAGAGGGTGTTCCTATCGGCTGCTGCTGCGGCGTACTTGATCCCACAGGCCTCGGTCCTACCGTCTGTCTTGGGGTTGCCATAGTCTAGATGTGTTACTTTTAGTGTTCTCGTAAATGTGTGTGTATTCTTCAAGTTCTACAATTGGGGGCAACAATGGGCTATTGAACTACGTTTAACATAAGCTGCTTAAACCATGTATTCAACAAAGAACATAGATAATATACTTGAATTACAATCCAGGAAAATGAAAACGGTTCTATATGAAAATTGATTATGTAAAGTGAAAGAGAAAGATACCGGAAACGGGCGTTACACAGGCGACAAGTACCTCACTTACATACCAGGTTAGGTACCTGTATATATGTAGGTGGTATAGCAAACGATATCATGTAGTGTTATGTTCTATAATTTATTCTACATTTATCTCCCCATACTCTGTAACGGAGGAAAAAGAAACCGAAAAAAAGCTCCAACTTAAGGCCGAGCCCTGGCGTGATAGCTTCATCTTTAATTTATGTCGCACTAGCAATACCTTGAGTACTAAGATGTCATTGTCAAACATCAAATGGAGTAGGGTTTCATGGTCAACGTACGGGCGAACTTTACTTTAGCAAGAACCATTTATGTACTCCCATTTACACCATCTGACGATATCACTCAGGAGCTTACTGACCAATCATCAGGTGCAGCTTAGATATATTCGCTTGCTGGGCTCCTTGTAACACTATGACTTTGTACGTGCGGGAACATACTACTTGGGTAGACGCACTTACATGTAGATATCGTAGCTTATAGGAGGTATGCACGTACCTAATGTAGGTCACATACAGCACGGTAGAAGAAAAAAACCATCACGGCCAGCGTCTCTATCAGGATAAGGCTCCTCAAATAAAAAGATTTGAGCATAATAACTAATTGTACCTAAAACTCGGGAACTCGGGTATTTATGGGATTTCCCTTTTTCGAATTCGTGACTTTACGCACTTGTAAAAGACAAAGCTCGAATCGAGCCACCTAGCTTCTTGGTGGCATAGTTGAAAATGCCAAAGCGATAGCCCATAAAATATGCCCAGTTGGTATACATCGTGTAAGGTTCCCCTAATTGGGTGAACTTTTGCCCGTCTATACTGTATGAGAAATTGGCCGCGTAACTACCACTCGCTCGAGCGTCCAGCGACGCCCGAAGCCAAATTGTCTTATCTTTAGGGATATCTGTTGTTGTTGCTACTATGTTACCGAGGTTGGTCGTATTCCATGCAGATTCTTCCTGCGTGATGTTGTGCACGATGGATAATGTGTAATTGGATCCATCACGATGGATACCGATATAAGCAGTGCGATCCCGGAAAGCCGCAAGGCCAAATCGGTCACCGTCGGCCATATTAGTAAAATCAACTTGAAGAGTACCGACGGGGAACTCTCCATGAATGCGATGGGTTAGGGTGTTGCGTGCTGCGTACAAGTCGTCCGTCACAGTCGCAGTAGATAAAGTCACCCCGCCATTGCCAGCCTTGTACTTTGTCTCATCAGGATTATGATTCCATTCCCAGTCTGGGCCTAAGGTGCTGTCATCGAAAGTGTCAGTACGAGTCCATTTTTGGACGGCTTTGAGAGGAAGTGGTGCCGGATAAGATGAACCCCATCCACCAGACTCGTCGGCAACAAAAAAGGGGAAGCCATCATCACCCCACTTGACTGGAGCCAGAACAGGTATACGGCCACTTGGATATGCCCATGTGAAAGACATGTAGTACCAGTCACCTGTTGACGCCTGAATGAGACTTCCTTGATGCGGAGCTCCGCCATTAGGTACTGGAGATTTGACACCGTTAACTAGTATCTTGCTCTCATAGGGACCCCAGGGGCTTTCGGATTTCCATATATAGGTAATATCGCCTGGATGGTCGTCAAGGATGTAGTAGAGCCCATCCTTTTTGTACATGCGGTTTCCTTCAATTCCATTTTTCCCTACATCAGAGGCACTGAAGATGTGTTTGGTCTCTACTTGGCTGAGTCCGTCTTTAGATAGCTGGGCTATAGACACGTCCGTGGCACCATATACGACATACATGGTATCGTCGTCATCGATAAGGAGGCCACAGTCATAGTAACATGTGCCGCCCGGGAGTACAGCCGCGCGGGTCCATGGCCCGGTGGCGTCCTTGGCGGTATAAATGTAAGTGTACCAGAAGTTAACGCAGCCGATCCAGTACCAAAGCCCAGTGCTCTCACGAAAGCGCATCGTGGACGCCCATGTTCCACCTCTATATGCATGGCCATTCGTCAGATTATACTTTTCGCCGAAATCAAGACTGGGCACAGAGTGACCAATAAGTTCCCAGTTGACAAGATCACCAGATCTTAAGATCGGAGCACCTGGACTGTAATGCATATTGGAGGCAGAGAAGTAATATAATCCGTCTGGACCAACAGAGACATCATTATCGGCAAAGTCTTCATATACCACTGGATTTTGGAAAGAGTCTGCTCGTTTCTGTAGTAAAGGTTCGGTAGCCGAAATGGTATCTAGCTCGCTCAAAGACGGAGAAACACCCGTCCATGCTAGGTTAGCTTGTAACAAGCCACAGAACAGGAGAGTGTTTCTCATTTTCATATTGATCATCCAGGGGTCCTTCGTACACTAGGAGGATGGGTATCTTCTAGGCTCAAAAAGAATAAATAATAGTATTCTCTCGACAATGCATATTTATTAAGATTGTTTATTAATTAGACCTCTATGTCTTCTCTGGGAGGTACTACTTTTATATATTTTTCAGGCGTTGCGCTGTGGTATGTTCGTACCTACTAAACCGCACGTTGCATTTTTCAATGCAACTCTGCTAAAGGAGGATGTTCTACCGAGGTCGCATTGCGATTAGTTCTATAATGCTAGGAACTGCCCATATAGTTTCCACAACTAAGCAACTATCTAGGCAATAATTACGGGGCTGTTGGGATGTGCTTGAATGTTCTCTTGTTAGAGTAGAACCGGCGACTTTATTAAGTCAGTTTTCCGACATGCAGCTAGGGACACACGAGGCTATATAGAAAAAGGCACATATAATTACATATATAATTCACTTGAATCTTTCTTTAACATTTAATAAATTAAAAATTCAATTGATTTACCTTTCAACTTGCGCAGTTGGAATTGATCGGTTCAAATGACGTGTTGGGCATGTTAGGTTGATGTCTACATTCGTAGTTGAAGGTTAAGATTCCAAGTAATAACTCCATAAATATACAATTGACACTTACTTGAGACTAGTTGCTATATATTAGAAACTTATGACGAATACTATGAGATGAGATAATATCAACGTACCTAATAAGATAAAGCGATCAAGTCTATTTAAGTGTTATGTAACTACAACAATATAGGAATTGCTCTCAAAGTAGTGCTACGACTCTTTCCATAATGAGGAACGACAAATGATATGATTTAAAGCCCCAAAGGGTTATCCGAAGAGTAATCCTAGCAAACTAATGAGGGGAGGGATTATTATAAAGATTGGGACTCGAGAAAAAAATGACGTTTAATAGGTAGATTCTGCCACGTTATCCACGTTATCCACGTTATCAAGCTCGCGGAGAAAATAGCTAAGGTTAGGTACCTACCTTAGGTACACTACCTAACTATGGAAGTCTTAAACTTCCACAGGACAGGGATGCCGGGCTAAATTTACAGGTCGGGTTTTGAAATAGTGGGGACCCCCAGAAACCTCTAAACCAATGGCATTACGAGCGGCATAGTAGCCCCCGGAATTTACACCCAAGAGCCTGTAATTCGGCGAAATATTGTACCTGGGTACTTTAGCTCCTTCGCCTAAACACCAATGCCTGCAGTCGCCTTGGTTCATCTCTTATCTCCTTCTACTCCTTCTACTTACGAGGCTCTCGCCTCAATTGATTTGGCGCTGATCCGTAGCTGGATAATTCTGCATTTGAGTGGCCGGAAGAATTACTTGGAAGCACTAGGGAATTTTTCCCGAGCCTTAGGTACTTTGGCTGGTTTTCTAATCACCGCATTCGTAGCTTCGCCTCGTGGCCTCCCACTTGCGACCTCAATAGGTACTTTCAGCTTTCTAAGAGTGGAGGCTTGTATATATCTACCTTCGTCTCGAACCTCAAGATGTCTCTTACGATACCTTATAAGGCCGTATGAGTTGACCTATTCATAACTCGCCGATAACTCCGGACAAAATACCTACGGTACCTAGATATCATTCTACCAATACGGCGCTGATGCTCGTTGTTTTCACACGACAAGTTTCCCGACCGAACGTAAGCTCAAGGGCACGTCTGCCATGAAGAAGAGCCTGTCGCCCGAGACGATCCCGATATTCAGCCGTTCATAGTATTAATATCGCTGGTCATTCGGATCAATTAAATCACTCCCCAAGCCTAGAGATCTACCTCTGTTAACGCGGGGACGTCGTCTATTAGGGCAGTATGGCGACAGTCCAACAGCTACACCAGGCTCCTACGCCAGCCTGCCCGCTTAACAATGCCGGCGCATCAATCTCAACCGTAGAAATAGATATAGAGCGAAACTTGCGACCGAGAGCTATGAAGGGGTCTAAGACTACGACCGGATTGCAAAAAGGCGATACTAGAACGGCTGTTATCATCTATGGTCCCGGCCAGGAGCGCATAGTATCAGTTTTCGCAGACGTCTTAGGGAAACCGTATCGCATGGCCGACAGCTTTCAGGGCATAACTTCTATAGAGCAAGAATTGGTACTTGGAATATCATCAGGGAGCGCCAAGATTGATATTTCTTCGCGAAATCGAGATGCGGTTGTTGCGATTAATGCTCACTGCGTCAATCTCGGGATGCCTCCGGACACTTATATATCTGCGCAGTGCGACTACGAGTTCTTGTATCCCGAAGCGTCATTCTCACGTCGAGACCTAGCCCGCTTTATTTCCTTCACCCTCGGTCAGATTAACCACCATGACGCATTAATGTCAAAGCCGCGCACTTATTTCATTTCGACCACATTTCCTGATGTTCGGGCAGCCCTTCCTAACATAGATATTCTCACAGTTGGTGCTGACGCTGTAGAACTACGTGTCGATCTCCTCAAAGAACCTTTAAATGATGGTAGTTTTGCGCCGATACCTAGTCTAAGTTACGTTGGGGAACAAGTTATGCTGTTGCGCCAGAGGACAGAATTGCCCATCATTTTCACGACAAGATGTACGAAGGAGAACGGTCGGTTTCCGATGGATAATCCCGACTTGTATTACGAATACCTCTTCCGGGCTATCCAGTGGGGTGTCGAATATATCGATGTCGAGCTTTGGCTTCCGGAACATATCCGTCGGAGGCTGTACGAAAAACGCGGGAGCAGTCGTATTATGTCTGCGTTCCACGACTTTTCTGGCACATTCAGATGGCCTTCGGCCCAAGCAGAGTCTATCTTCCTCGAGTCTCGAAAATTTGCTGATATCATAAAAATGATATCAATAATCAACGATCACAACGAAAATTTCGAGTTGGAATACTTCCGCTCGAAAATTCGAGGCGAATATCCAGACTCGCCCCCCCTTTCAGCCGTCAATATGGGTGAAACTGGTCAGTTCTCGAGAACTCTAAACAAGGTCTTCACACCTATCACCCACCCTCTTCTTCCGATAATTGCAGCGCCAGGTCAGATGAGTGCTGCTGAGATTAACGCCGCACTGTCATTGCTTGGCCAACTTCCAAAGAAGAGTCTCTACGGAATTAGTAGCCCATTCTCCCGTATTGCGACTCCTCACGCGCCCTTCTACGAGAAGTGTTTCAACGAGCTTGGCTTACCACACCAATTTGCTGTTGTCGAAAGACACCTTAAGGGACCTACCTGCGTGGAGGCGTTGTGCAATCAAAAATCCTTCGGCGGGGCATATTTGAGTCCGCCAGTATCTTTGGCAAGTCTCATGTATGAGAGCTCTTTCTTTGCGAGACTCAATAATGGATTGGGCCCATCACTCACTGAAGCTGCTCGTACGATTGGTATGGTTGATACCATCGTTGTTCAATCTCGGTCGTCTCCACCATCCTCAGCACCTCCCGCCACTCCTTCAGGTTCTGACCGGAGTGTTGACACGTCCCTAAACTTTGGCATCGGCAATTGTAACGGGCTACCACCAAGCTCGACACTAATTTTTGATAACGCAAATTGGCGTGGCATCGTCAGTACTCTGACGCGTGATCTTGCGCCCTCAGCTTACTCTGGTCGTGCGGCAGTTGTCCTGGCAGCAAATTCCGACGATGCAGCGTCAGCTATGTACGCATTGAAAGCGCTTCGAATTGGTAAGGTATATACTGTTGGTTTCAAGACACCCCCTAGTCTAGCCCGCGGCCTCGAAGTCGAGCCCTTCAACAGTTTAGAGAGTCTCCAAAGAGCGAGGATGGTGCGTGATAAGGCTAGCCCTTTCGTAATCATCTCTGCTCTGGGACCCGAGAAATCCAATATCGTCGGGATGCTTGTGCGTGTGTTTGGAGGCTCAAGAGGCTCGTCCACGCAGATTCGCAAGGTATTCCTGGACCTGGCCGATGGACCGAGGAAAGGAGACCCAAGCGCGGTTGCTGAACAGAGTGGCTTCGCCGCGTACGGCGTAGCAGATACGACAGCATTCACAACCGTAGAAACTCTTAGGTTGCTCGTCGGGCAAAATGTACCCTACAGCTTTGTGCGGCTTGCGGGCGGCCAGGGAATGTTTTAAAGGAATCATATATATATACCTATATACCCCGGGGAGAGTTGGCAGGATATTAGATGCATAGTGCTTAGGATTCAATATATGCAGATTACCGGCGAACTGTGTATGATGCGATTAGATATAATTCTTCTGACTTTAGGCCAGCCAGTTGTGGACATATCTCGGAGACCTACTTAGAAAAATTCTATATAGGCGTCTTCTCCAGAGTATGCTGCCCACACCCTTTCTTCATCCCGTTTCTCTGTATTTACAAGTTCAAGTGAACTGGAGATTCTTCCGAGAACGTAGTCCCGACATACGGAACCAAGGGGCTACGAAACCATCCGTTAAGGGTATTCGGTGTAGCATGCCTGGGTATTCTCGTAATTGGGTAGGCTTATCCAAGGCCGAGAAATACTATGCTCGTATTGCTTAACCTACGCTTATACTTGGTTAGGTACGATGATTCATTAATACCGAACTAAAGCGCCGGACGAGTATAGAAACCTTGGAGTGCGCATATGTAACCACATACTCTTTGGAGATGCCATTGAACCCCCACGCCCTTGTCTCCTGTTCTACGCCTGTGTACTACCCTACTCCTTCCGTTAGGTGTTGATGCCGAAGTGCTAGAGTCAATCCACACTATAGTAGCTCGGAGTTTTTACCAAAGCCTAGAGGTGATTTTCGTGAATGCCGAATTTGCGTTGGAACCCGAACAATTCTCCGGGTGGCTGCTGAAATGAGTAGTCAAGCCCAGTGCAGCGAGGTGAGAAATTTGATAAATCGAGATGCAAAAGCTGAGTAATGGACGCTTATGCTATGCGGTTAAGACCGGCTTATTGCAGATACACTCAGACTAATATAAACTCATACGATGCTCCAGTGGGCTTGATATATAGCCTACGGGTACCTGAGTCGGCGCATAGGATGATAATAGTTTTTAAAGATACTGCAGACGTTTTGTAGGGGTCCGGCAGGGTACTTCGTATGTTTCGTATGTTTCGTATATTATACCCGCATGCGGTATAAGTCGTTCAATTAAAAGAGCCTGAATATCAGGATTCAGGATATATAAGTCGAGATGGCACTCCAGGAGCCGAAGCCGCATGCAGCCAGCCATGGCCCATAATAAAAGGGTTACCCACATCGAGACGATGTGGAGAGAATTTGATGCTCCACGGCATCTATCCCGAGTCCGAGTTCGTGATAAAGGTGTGTTGGGACGTATTTACGCCCTATCGTTTTCAAGAGAAAATAAGGGTATCGTTCGACTTCTGACATGTGCGACGCAGGTGCAACATGTCAATATTGCACGTCAGTACCAGCCAGCAGGCTATTCAGGGACCGGATCTGTCACTAACCTAAATGGCTGTGGCCGGGGAACTGGGCATTACATACCCTAAAGCAAGGGGCTGTTCTAGACATAAATCTTGTTCCTTGTAAAAATCTTGGTTCACATTACGAGCCGATGCGACTTTACGTTAGAGGTATACTCGAGCATCACTTTCATAGGATAACTCGATTAGTTCCATGCATCCTCAAGTATATAACTTTGCATACAAGTATTGGCTCTTACAATTGATGTGTGTGCGTTCTAGATACTATTAGGTACCTGTACTTTAGGTGAGGTATGTAGAATAAAGCAGACGCCCGCATATCTTTTGGAGGGCATAAAATAAACATATAAACATCCGTTCCTAGGTATTTCCAAATGCAAATAACCTCGTTAAATACTTAGAACACCTTAGGTATTCCGTAATTGTATAATATTTTAGACTAAGGGGAAAAAGAGGGGCACAAAGTGGACTCGGGTCTTCTGGCGGCGAGCATTAACCCGGTCCGGCTTCTACAGCAACGGGCCCTAAATATCTTGAACATCTTGAACATACATACCTTAACGTTAAATTTTAATTACCTAATGTACTGAATGTTAACCTTAAACATCGCAACACCCCTGCTTTGCCAACTCCCGGAATACATACCCGCGTCTCCTTCCGAGATGAGTCTTAAGAGGCCTCAACTCAAACAAGACATCCGGTATCTAGTATCACACGTGTCATCGTCACGATCGTGAACCACACAATCTACGATCTAGATACGCGCAGTACCAATGACGTGGAACTGCATCTTACGAGATGTCCTCGAAAACCCTGTACAAGCCTACGTGATGACAGAATCCCAAAACATGGACCGGATTGGCTCTATAATTTACCTACGATCGGCTTTGCAACATCAAACGCGCCTAGATATGATATATCGACCCACTGCCATCTATTCGGGTACTCCCTAACCTTTAAACCGTCCCAACTCTTGACATATGGATGCATGATTACTGGGTCCCGCCGGTTAGCACCGCTACTCCCACGCTGTCGGTATCCGCCTCGAACAGGGCATCAATTCCCCAGATCCAATGGAGCCATTGTAATTATTATGAGGAGCCGTTCGGACTCGGTTCAAGTATCAGCAAGACAACACACCAAGCGCTATCGTCTCTGAATGGGCGCTTCGAGTTCACGTCTTCAGGAACCCGGTTAGACCTACCTAGTTCAAACGGATGAATGCCTAGGGTCTTTTACAGTCCTTCTCGTAACGAATACTTACATATCTTGTTCCTGCTCCGCCAACTCCCGGTGTATCAACGCGGCTACATAAGTTAGTTACCCTGTTTAGCTGCGTCCTGATATCTCGGGGTGGGTCTCACGGGGTCATCGTCATCATCGGTGCCGGGAACAATGGCGTCCAATCCGACAGAGAAAGATACATACTTGGAAGCTCTCAAGTTTATTATTAGCCCAAAAGAAAAGTGGAAGCTCCGGCACGTCACAACTAGCCTGGAGGAATAATAGCCTATCGCGAGTTCACCCGGCGTCCTGTTGTCTCGAAACAGTAAGCCAGCTAAACTTAGAGCACTAGTAGAGACCATTCGCGGGGAAGTTGTTAAGATCCAGAGCTTATGCGCCTATATGTACCAACCGCAAACGCGCAGATATGAATAATGTAAGAGCTCGTGTGCCTGCATATTTGCCTCCAACTATTTACCTAGCTGTTTGTAGAATGAAGTAGTTCCATGTCAGCCACCAGGTCTAGCTTCATACATCAGAGGCGACTAGTGTCTCTGACATTAGCGGTCAATATTCAACTCTCATGACTCTGGGGTCATGCTGGTATACAACATTCCTGCATCGGGGCCAGCATAAGTAAGGTCAAGCCAATTAGTACCGGTCTTGAATCTTAGTTGGGCAACCGGGACTGCATTTCCTGTTATTCCAGGAAGTCTCTGGTTCTGCGCAGCACCAAATTACGAATAAACTCCTTCAAACGGGAGACTTGATGGGAACTAGCATGTGCTTGGTTGAGTTATGTTTAAGGTGGTTCAAGCCACAATACATCCGACTTGGACAACAGCTTAAAATAGTTCTCAATGTGGCATCATCCACCCATAAATCGCTTAAGATTGGCCAGTGGAAAGCTCGCTCGTACGATAAAGAAAATATGGGCATAAGACTTAGGAAATTCCACGACGAGGATCGATAACTCTAAACGGCTTTTCACGAGGGCAGCGGAGTCGGCGCTTTTACGGCTTCAACTACCAGGATAGAACTGTTAGTCAGAATTAGGGAGGTCGATGGGGATAGATTTCTATTGGCGCGCAACAGTTGATGCCGCCATCTCTAGCACGTGGCATACTTCTCGAAGAGTTAGAGCTCTCCTCCACCCCTATCACCACCACCACTACTACTACTACTACTACTACTACTACCAACTCCTCCGTATTCCTTTTGTGTCCTTCCCATTGCGTATAGCACAGCACAAGAACCTAGCTAAATAGCATTAAGCTCAAGACCGTAGTAACGGCAAGCGGCCCCTCTTATTAACATGGGCCGAGAATGAAGTCTGCAAGAACCCCGTTTTGGTCGCCTTCCGACGGCTTGGTCCCAGTTCGTAGCCAATCCAAAATCCCTGCTCTTGTCGCCCTTTCAGTTCCCTGTAATCTTCCCCAGTTTACCCCGTCAGGTCCCGCATTGACAAGGGCTTCACGAGCCGAGTGGGTAATGAACAGGATCGTGCCAGAAGCAGGCCCTTGCTGAGGCCGGTAAAGAGTCAGTCACTAAACCCCAATCGTCCACAAGCCGTCTCCCACATCTTCAGCGTCTCTCCGCATAAACTATGCCCCATCTTTTCCCATCTGAATAAAGGACCACAAATTTCAACATGCATTGCGCGGTCGTGAGCCCTTCTTCTTATTAGTCCTTCTCCGCCGTACATATTTCTCCATGTCTCCAAATTCTAGCAAAATAGTAGTAGTATTGGGCGCGTCAACATCGCTACTAAGTACAATACAATATGCAACGAACACTATAACACCGTATCAACACAGAGATCCAAACTAAGTAGCCGGCAATCGGTCAAGGATAAGGATGAGAGGTTCATTTACGATTCAATGAGAAACTCTATCTCTATAGAGGAAGGATAAGGAGAAAGAGAAAGAGAAAGAGAGAGAAAGGGATTGGACGCGCAGATTCGACAACGACAGTCCCAATTCCGGCCTCCAGAAACCCTTAAACGAGGAGATACATTTAGAATCGGTAATCATGAGTATCGCACCTCTCCCCGGAATTCAACCCATCATCATGTCGCGGCCACAAGTCGGCATCGAGCGATTACCAGGTCGCCGTATGGGCAACGAGCCACGAGAAGCAATGAATTGCAAGTCATGTCGGAAGCGGAAAGTAAGGCTCCTTACATCGGCCGGATCGAATCCAATTCGCCCAGTTTTGATCTTAATCTAACGAACGGCATTCTCCGTGTAGATTAAATGCAATCGAATGCGTCCATCCTGCGAAGCTTGCCAAGTTTTCCAATGCCCCTGTATCTACGGTGCGTAATTAGCTTTCTCTCGCCCGTGGGAGAGCCCCTTTATGATAGATCCCAACATTGGAGCTAATTTTACCTTGATTTCGATCTTTACAGACGCTATACCAAAAAAACGAGGCCCCAAGACAGATGTATTGGAGGCATTGCTAAAAAGGGTAGACGGTTTAGAAGCTCAGCTCAAAGATCACAGAAAGGCCGATGCTTCACCAACCACTGAAAAGCTTCCGCATATTAGTACGGAAGAAACGTCTCCTGGTGCCAGACTGGCAGCAGACGATTCAGATTCTGGGCCAAAATCAAAGCGTCCGACTCTAGACATTTCTCGAGCAACAGAGATAGCTTCGGAATCTGCTATATACTCACCTACGATTTCTAGCGAGCCCTCCCCTGGCGTACAGATAGATACGCTCCTTGACACTTACTTTTCCCGGTTCCATGCGAAACCCTACCATATCCTTGATGAATCGTCGGTGCGGCAACGGCTACAACTCAACCAATTGCCTAGTTACTTAATATATGCCATCTATTCTGTCGCTGCTAGGTTCGCTTCCATCCCGTTACCTTAGGTACCTCCTAAGCATGTATGTACTAAGATTTGATTAGATACACAACGCACCCTAGCGGATGTCAGTCCGCTGCTAAGTTGAGTGAGGAATATGCATTACGATCGAGGGGTGGGATTGATGCAGACGAGCCATCCATCGATGCTCTTCAAGCTCTCCTTCTCCTCGTCACTGCGTTTACGGCAGCAGGCAAGGGTAAAAAGGCATATATGCTCCTAAGTAAGTCCCCCAGATGAGAATGGCGATGTTCAGTGCAATCTATAGACTCATAAACTAATTATCATATCAAGCAATTGCCATCGGAATGGCCATAGCCCTTGAGTTACATCGGGAGGTAAACCTACAAGCTAGGATAACAGCTGTGGAACGTGAAATGAGAAGACGCTTGTTCTGGACTTGTTATCTCCTCGATAGATTCATGACATGTGGCTCAAAACGCCCCTGTCTTATCAGCGACAGGACTATCCTTCTACGTCTTCCATGCTGGTCTCCGAATCCATCCACTTTGCCTGTCGAAGGAGACTTTTTTCAGAACGGATCGAACCTTCAGCACCTACAAGGTAACGGCAGGAAGTCTCAGGGGAGCAGCGGAATGCTCATCGACATCAGCCGTATTCTAGGAATTACAAATAGGTATCTTGCAGCGGGAGGTGTAAAAGGCGATTCCCACTTCCCTTGGCACGCCCTTTCTGAACTTTCCAAAATCAGGCAGGATCTCGATATATGGGCCTCGGGGACTGCCGACGTCTTCTCGAGTGTAGATACCCTCTTCGGGCAACCTGATTCGACTGTTCTTGTTCTCGGAAAACTCGTCTACCACCTAATTCATTGTCTTATATACAGACCCTTCCTCCCAATTGACCTTGCGGAACTGGCTGGAACGGGCCAACATCAATCTTGGCAAATAGAAGCCACGAACATCTGTTTCTTGCATGCCAATGCGATTGCTGAGCTAGTCGAGCTCGGTAGACAGATGCCATCCATCGAATGGCCCGCTTTCGTTGGTTATTGTATCTGCACCGCAGGTACAGTCCATATACATGGAACACATTACAATAAGAACGGAGGGGGAGAAACTATGGGTGTTCTATCATCATCGTCAGAGTTCCTATCCCGAGAACTGCAGCAACTAAGCGAGCTGAGTTATACTTGGGCAAGTGTGCAACACCAACGCGATACCTTGCAAAGCATATACAGTGCCCATGCCGAATTAGTCAAGGGTCTTGCTAATAATTCAATGCGGTATTCCCCGGCTTTCAATCTTGAAGACTTCTTCGACCGCTACTCGACTATTAGTAGGCCAGGAGGTCGTCCGTTCACGTTCGACGCTACGAATCTTAGCCTTTCAGATATCGCTACTAATTTCGCCACTGATACCTACTCGGGACCTGATTTATATTCGCCGCGTATCAATACTGATTTCGAACGGCCAAATCTAAAGCGAAAGAATACTGCTCTTGGCCAAAGACGACCCGACATAAGAAGCTTAACCCCAGTTAACTCAGCTAACAACAGACCCCTGACTCCTGGACTGCCTACCCCTGGCGCCCATCCTCGGCATTTCTCTTTCTCTACAGCCCCTCATACATCATCGATGATCCACACCTCTAGCTCATTGCTTCCACACGCAGATAATATGCCCAGTAGTACTACCCTATCAATACAACAACGACGCGAAATGGTCGATAATCAGGCTGCCAGCGCTACCGCCGGATTTAATCCAGCATCCTACCAGCCAGCCCAGTCGCAAATAGAAGCCATGTCGGCGGTCCCCTTCTCCCCGTCGTATCAATACGCGACCCCCAGCCCGAGTGGCGACAACGAAAGCAGCCTCGGCGTCGCTAGCTACGACCCGATGTTCGGAACCGTACCGACCAACACCTTCTCCTCCCCCACGCCCTGGCACGGCGAAGAGGACCCCCGCAAGCCGCCGTCGCACTTAGCCGCGGTCCCGAGCCCGGGGGCAGGCAGCCACAACGGTAGTCCGGCCACCGCTCCCGGGGAGGACAAGGATCCGTTCTTGAGCTTGCTGGAACAGCTTGCGGAGAACGAGCATGCTATTGGGCAGGGCAAGGAGATTGATTTCTTCCTGGCGGGGGCGCAGGGGTGAGGTGGGCGAATGCTTTGGGGCCCGTCTATTTGCCGTGGTATTGATGTAGCGAGGCGGCGGGATTGGAGTTAGATTGGCATTTGGACGAGCTCTGGTGTTTATTTACGGGAGTGTACCATATGGTTGGTTCAATATTGGTCTAGCGGTACTTCATCAGCGAGCGAGCGATTTGGGAGATGTCACGACTGTTTGGGTTAGTTTTTTTTTTTTTTTTATTATTGATAGGCATCGTGTTTGTGTAATTAATTGTGTGATATGGGGGGTCAGGGAAGAGATATGACGAAGAAAATATGTATTTATAGGGTTGGGAAAATAGGAGGACGGCATACATACATAGTATATATGATCCGCGCTTGATTGGGTAGAGCAGCGTTTTGACGTGGGTTTCTGGGGCATTGATGATTTGTCTATGCGGTCGGTCCCTGGTGATTGAGGGGTTTTGATGTATATGGTAGTGAGAGTATGATATTAGAGAGTCGGTTCGTTTATTGGGAACTTATAATAGGTCTTAGGAAAGGAAAGCGAATCGATACCATTGGACTAGGTTAGGAGGTACCTAAGGTAGGTAATTCGGTAAATAACTATATGTTTACTAAGTTAATTAATAGGATGAAAGTAAAGGTGAAGTTGAGGAGTGAGACGGCCCCCTAGCAAGCAACTTGGAGACGGTCTAACTAGGTACCTAACCAAGGGTTCCGAACGGAGGAACATGAACATCTAGGAAGTTAGAAACTGGCTGTAATGTGATATAAACCGAAGCCAAGTCATGCCATGTCAACAACCTATTGTTAGTTTACTCCTCTATCTTTCAGCTGTCCCCGATGTAGGTCGCTTGTGTGGTGCGAAATCTAACAGGGGAAAATCTGCAATCGGCTTAACATATAGTTGATCATTGGTAGTAGACTACCTGTTATGTATGTAGATCTAATTAATTCTAAGTACGTCTCATGAGGATAACTCTATTGTGTTGACTTTCGAATATGAAGGTTATAGTTATATTTTTTTCAAGTTAATATTAAAGTAGGTAGCTCCTATTGTCTATGTTTTCAGCGTCCATATTCAAGATCAATAAAGGCACTTACAAAGTTATCCCAGTGCTAAGAGGTACCTACCTACCTCCTATCTAAACTGTATTACAATTCGAGCTTGTACTAAACACCGGCTTCATTCCGTATCATCACAGAATAGGCGAACCACCTAACATTACGCTTAATGGTTTAACTAAATTGTGACAATTCTTACAGCAAGTAAAATTCTGTAGCAACAACATCGCTCATCCCAACTCTTATTATCATTACAAAATGCTCTATCGGTACCTAGTAGTCATATTAGGTTTTGGCATTACTTTGCGGACTTCCGATCACCCAGTTCCCGATTGCCTTTGTCTGTTGATTGATCCGGCGGTAGCCCGTCTCTCCGTCTTCATATACGGCACTGGGCTAAGACGTAAGAGGATATTCTACTTTATATCCCCCGATATGGGCAATTTCTCCGAAATAACTATGTCCAGCTAAATATCAAATTCGGACATGACTAGAGACATAATAGCTGGGAGGCCATACACCTTGACGGATCCGATGAGGTTGGTGCACACTCATAAAGAGCTGGAAACTCACTCCTATTTACCCAGGGATATGAATCAGAATGTGGGAATTTGTTGGGAAATAAGGTATATTGATGAAGAACATTCATTTATTAGTCCATGGTAGCCCTTGGTCATATCGTTACCGCGAAGCTGTATATATTTTATAGTCACTCTTTTATTTCTTACTACATGTCGGGTTCAACACCCAATTAAAAATCCCAGTCATTCGTTTCTATAACTTCTATTACGTTATAATATTGATTGACATGTCTATTTAAAGAAGTGTTATATTCTCTGTATACGTGTACCACATACTCCGCGAATACGCCTATCTCTATGCGAACACTTCCCTTTACTATAAACAGAAGCTCTCCTTAGCTCTCCACAAGGCTGTGGATGGACTTGAAAGCATTTCACAATGGAGCGTCACGACCTCGGGTTATTTCTTGGCAAGTAACTTCAGATAGTATTGTTTGTTGAAGGTCGATAATGCGGATATCATGCTCCGCGGGCATTCTTTCGGTAAGGGGATAGATAACCCCATCACAAGTTGGCTAATACTGATAGAATTTCCTGCTCTCACAGCCTTTTCTTCTCAATATATCTATGAGTGTACGTTAAAACGCTCTGAAACGCTTGCTCTATATCCTCAAGCTTAATATATCGTCACTGGCCATTGATAATTTAGTATAACACCTAATCTCCTGGTATCAGCAGCCACTTCCCTTGCTGTCTCGTCCCAGTCCTTATCTTCCTTAGGTAACTAAAGCGCAATACCAAAAGGGCGTGGTGTACCGCAAGCTAATACTAATGCGTGTAGCATGAAGAATGTTCTGGGTCCTATACACTGAATTAAACATGCTGCTTCCATTGTTCTTCGCACCACTCCCAGAACGCAGTAGCTTTGCCTTCGGACGCTTTCAATATATCCAGTCGCGCAATTGGCCGGATTCGACCCCACGGCCAGATATACGCACCGTTAGAATCTTCGCTCACCTCAGGAGACAGACCAGAGTACAACATAATAATCCTCATACGTGACCGTGGTGGGTTTCTCGATGCGTGCGAAGTCGATACCACGCTGAGGCGCGCACATGTCGATCTGTGCAGAGCCTGACCATACAATCCTCACACTGCCCGGAGCATCGGTAGGAGTTCCTGCGTGAAGAGCAGCGGAGCAACGCAGTTCGCACCTACATGCGCCTCGATGCCCTGCTTCGTTACGCTTCCTGGCGGGCATCCATTGCCAGCGTTATTCCACAGGATATCTAGGCGCGTTTCTTGCGCTGCGAACAACGCCGCTGCTGGTTCGATTGTCTCTAGATTGGAGAGATCGAGAAATAGGGATTTAAGATTCGATGGCGTTGTGGGAGAGGGCAAGGCGGAATCAACTTCGGCTATGGCAGCCTGAAGTTTAATGGGCGAGCGTCCTGCGAGGTAAATGGTGGCGCCGGTAGGATAGAGGAGCTTTACGAGAGAGAGTCCAATACCTGAATTGGCGCCGGTGATGACAAAGACTTTGCCGACTTGACTCCCGGAACCAACATCCCTTTCCGTGAAGGCGGGGGCTGGTGGGAAGAATTGCTGCCAGAGAGCCCAAAGACCGGATAAGGTGGGCATCGTGAATTTGTGCTGGGTGCCTACAACATGAACAGAAGTTGTGTATGCGATATCCTCCTCTCCTGAAATACATCTGCAGTAATAGACTTGACCTAAACTTCAAATATCCCATTTACGATGTTGTTTCTACTCTCGTCAGTCGTATTCTATGGCATGTATAATCCGAAGTAGCGTCCGAAGTAAGACGAGTTTATGACCCGGGTCACTAATAATTTTAGGTTGAAGAAAGCCGGCGGCCGGCGGCCGGCCCCACTATAATACGGGAGACGGCCGGGGCAGGTGGAACCTAGGTGAGTCAGTAGACGTAGATGCGCCATATGTGAGATATTGGTTTGCTTCTCAGGTAATTGAGGTACCTATGATAAATACTCTGTAGTGATACTATATTGGAACTAAGTATCCAACTTCGTAGAGACCTTGAAGATTGCGACGGCACGGAATACTACTTATGGGCATTACATGTAAATCAATGCCAAATGTCTTGGACGAACCTTGCAAAGAAACACTTAAAGGGGCGGCTATCCACCTAAAGAGATTACTGTTTGTCCGTTTTTGTTAAGGTCATTTTCCGACTAACCGTCTCAAGCACGGTAAAACATATAGACGTACATACCTACCTAGGTACCTAGGTAGGTAGGCACTTAATATACTACCTAGGTAGTATACCCCCGTATACTATCTCCTGTGACGCAACTTATAAGGCTAGGCCACGTGGAGGTTAATTATTCTTCTCAAGAGCTGGCCTGGGAGGTCTTTCCTGCGGGCTACCCACAGCATGTTAAAGATATGCCCGCAGGGTAAAGAGCTTCATCTATTGGGGGGCTTACCAATGACCCCCTCGTCACTCTACTTGGGGGTCTTCTACTTTGGAAACTTAAAGTAAACACTAAGGGGTCTATCTTGATAGGTGCCTTTATTAAACCGTCTACTATAGTACGACATCCTCCCCTTAGTAGTGTACTAGATGTATTATATCTTCTCTTATGTAAACGAGGACGGGACGGGGATGTAGGAGTAATAGATGATGACTCAGGCTCGACTTATACATACCTAGACAGCCACCATCGCCACGGCGCCACACAAAAGCTTAGAGCTTGCAGTTTGCAGCTTGCAGCTTGCAGCTCGCAATTAACCTGATGCGTTCCGATCAGCTGGACTTCTAACTGGCCCGCCTTGTCTCCGCCTACTCAAGGAAAGGTTTCAACAAAGCAACATTTAACTACCGAATCTAAGATGTGCCAAGAGAGCTCATATCTTGTATGATGTCACGTACAAGCTACTGTGTAAACGCTAATCGTGGTAGCCAGGTGGTAATTCAAGATTGCGCATAGAGCTATTCCCGTGTATGAAAAAATGGCATTTTTACTGATACGTCACCTAGTGGTGGTCTCATACTCAATTCTCTTCAATGAGAACTGAGACCTAATGCCCGTCTAACTGCTACCCGAGGCAACCTAGAAGACCTGTCACATATCAGCTATCCCTCAGGTAGACCGGTCAAAAAGCCTAACTACCTACCTATGTATGTATGTATAAGCAGATCGCCAACGACACAGGGGAAGGCTCGGCGTATGCAGATGGACGTTTGTAGAAGGATAGGACATGATATCTAAGAAGGTCCAGAACGACCCCGTCCGGATATACGGCGTTGTTCGTCGCCACTCACGCGCGTACCCCGGAGGATGGATCGTCGCGGCAGCTGTCGGCGCAATAGATTGCGAAACACAAGACTGCGTCATTATCTTCTTATATTGTAGGTATGTGGAAAGGCGGGATCCTTCCAACCAGAGCCAATGTAGATAGATGATTCGAGATCGAGCGCCGACCATGCGACCACCCGAAGCGCACGCGTTATCCGCTTACGGTGGTGCATGTGGATGACTGGGATTGGCTTGCGAGACTCGGCGGGAAAAAAAAAAGGTGAAGAGGGGGGGCAATAAGATCATTGAAGGGCGCCCCCTCCTGCAAGATTGCATGGAGAAATCGAGAGATCGGGTCAAGTTGCTCAGACCAAAAAAGTTAAATGAAACGACAGGTCTCTTTTCTCTCCCTTTTCCTTCTTCCGAACCCTCGATAATGGGCCGCGGGAATCTGATGGTCAGCTTACCACCTCAACGCCACTCCGTCCAGCAGGGCAACGGATTACTGTGAGTCTCGACAGTTACATCGCTGGTGGATTTGTAGCGACGATTGCATTGCATGGAAGGCTAGCAGGGCGTATAGCTTGTTGTGTATAAGTAGCCCGGGGTTCGTTGGTTCGTTAGTTGGTTGTCTCGGTTGACTGCATCTTACCGTCTGTCCCTTGCTCACCTGCACGCTTCGAGGCTAGACGAGACGGGAACTTTAGGGGATCACGTAGCGTGTAGGCAATTCATAGGTTGGTGATAGGATCAGCGGCGCAAAGCTGATCTATGCGCGAAACAGATGAAATTAGATACGAAGGCGTAACTACCTACTCATGAGTGCAACGAAGACGCTGTATATGCTATACACTTTTGTGCAGATATCCTGCTCTAGGTAGGTGAATATGATAGGTATAATAGTGAATATAGGATGGGTAGCGATAAGGCGCCCACCTGGAAGAATCTGCATGTTCTTTTGGCTACGTAGTTGCGCCTATCGGCTGGAGAGGGCAAGTTAAGACATACATGAAGATGAAGATGTATGAGGAATTCTATTGGGTAGTAAACAGAAGGGCTATATTGACAGTAAGGCTGAAACAACGGCTTGAGACAATGTTGTCAGTATCTTACATAATTATTAATTTATATATAAGTATCGTACCACATGCTGGACGGGTAGGGGATCCAGAGCTCAGGTAGATTATCTCGATGCATAGGATCGTGATCTAAGATATCTCGAACGGGAGAACGTAAAGATTTGGCATAAGGAAGAGGCGGTCGTACGTGTAGCTTTCTCATCCGCAAGCAGCCGAGGTATCAGCAAAGAGAATTGCTGATGGTGATTACGGCATAAGCCAAGCGTACCGATACAAATGCATAGGTACATTGAATCGGGGGGGGGGGGAACATTATCGGCGATCACTTTTCCAGCGTGGTTTACATAGGAGATGCTGGTTTAGGTATTTTGACCAAGTAAAGACCGTGCGTCCCGATATGCGGAACGGTGATTAGAGAATCAAGAGTGTGGTAGCACTCATCTCTAATCAGCGGCCTTTGTACCACGTATAGTTCCTTAGAATTATACCAGTGATTTGCAGTAGTTGACAACTCACCCCCGTTCGCTCTTGAACCTCTCACTTCGTGGGAAAGTGATAAGTGACAAAATGGTATGTTTTACGACGATAGGTCCTTCGGCTTCGGCTATAGAACACAACGTCAGAGCTGACCCCTACCCCGGGGATATATCAGATGTATGCATAGTAGAGTACCCGCAGAGGAAGCCGGCTGCTGAAGACTTGCCCGACGCTCCATGACTTGAGATGACTTAAGGGGGAGGCTATTGGTTAGTCCAGGATCGCCTATGAGAGTAGCTAGCCCCTGACCCCAGGCGAGGCGAGAGCGCTGTATGGAGGACTGAGTTAAAAGTCAGATCCTGCAATGCATCCATCTACATAATAGAAGCGGCAGGGAGAAAACGGTCCCGATCTAATTTATTAATTCATTCAAGGACCAGGCTCTGGGATTATCTGGTGGGCGGTAGGCTGGGTAGGCTCCAACAATCGCTCACAACCACTCCTTTCACCGGAGTTTGCTGCGCCAATAGGAGCTCATGAATACCCTGAATACCCTAGATACCCTAGATACCCTTGTCTTCTTCCCTGTCACCCTCCTTCGCCGTGATAAGCATGCAGTGGGTATAGTGGAACCCCCAGTGATCGCCGGGTCCAAAGCCACAGAGTCGCATTCTTAGTTTCTCGAGCGTCGCATTGGGAGAGTTCCATCGTGTTAGGTAAGGAAAGCTCATGTGATATTCCCTAGATTCATTAAGACTTGGCTTCAGGTGCTATAAGGCCCTATCGAAGAACATAAGAGGGCAACCTGGTTACGTGCCCGGCCACCTCCGGATTTTGCCTACTGGTCTAACTGGTCTAACTGGTCTACTACTAGTGTATTATCATCTGTCGACTTTGTGTTGCCCCTGGCCTTGATTACGTAGTGCCTTGCCTCTTACACAGAGGAGTCTCAAGCTTCCCAACTCTCAAACTCAAGATACGTTCGACCCACTCGACACCTGCCGGCTACATACGATGCTGTACTGTACGATTGTACATGACGCCCTCTAGTGGACCGTATTCACCAGTTGCATCCAATAGTCCTGAGCCACGGAAACAATTAGTGCCCACCGCAGAACCATATAAATTTATGCTTGTTCCCCTGCGAAGAGAAAAAAAATGATATATCATAAAACACACCCGGGCAAGCGGATGACAGAACAATTTGCATGCTTTGAACCCTACTGCTTGCTATCCGTACCATACAATATGATGGGGATATTATAGGACCGGGGCAAGGCGACGTCGTAGCGGGATATGTCGTAGTTTTATTATGTGCGAAGTATGTATGCGCATTAATGCGACAATATGTACATACGTAACGGTCAAAGCTCGCCTATGGACGGATAGCGTAGGGACTGGATTGGCTTGGCTAAGTCATCCGAGAGGAACGCAAGGGTACGCCGGGTGCTCGCTTCAGAGCGCATGCAACAAACATATTGCGGCAACGCTGGCGGCAACGGGACTCCCGAGGCCGGAAGAGCTTCTGCACGGCAGCACCGCCGAGAGGTGAGCTAGCCAGTATCAGTATCATTATACATTGCATACATGCATTCGAGGAATGGCCAGGTCGTTTAAAGAGGGGATTAGGTTACAGAAGCAGAAATGAGGGACATGGAGGTCTATTACCTACGCCTAGACAATCCTACCCTACGAATCGACATACACCGTATGGGGATGTAATCTATCAAGATAAAGACAATGGAGTTTTCTGGCGTAGAATTCGGCTGAGTCAAGCACCCCTTATTCAGCAGGCATACCCAGGGCAAGCCGATTCAGCTTCCAGATCCGGCCAAGAGAAAGGCAATATCGGATAGTTGGTTACCTAAATGGGCCACCGTTGCGACACCATTTATATGGTGAGATAAGAAGAGGGTGGTAGCTATGAGGAAACGGGAAGCGCCCCACGCTAGATCTACTATAAGATCAGGCGATCATACACGTTGGGTATCATTGGCTCGCGGCCAGAGATCCAGATTCCAAAAAAGAAGGGTTTCCCCTTCAGCCTAATCAGGTAGTTAGGAGGACGTGTTTGGCAAACGGAAACACGAGGTGGTCTACGCCCACGAATCGCGCTGCAAAAGTCTATATTTGAGCATCATATATAATTTTAAATCTTAGATACCTACCTAGGTAGCTTTTACCATGATATAAGACTCTATATTATTTCAATGGGGAAACGATTTACCTTGAAGATATGAAGCGGGAAAAAGGTAGGCGAAGGGTCATCTGCCAGCTCATCCCGACACGTGCGAGACTGGTCATGATGGATGGCATAATCCTTTAGTGAGCGATTTTCAATATCCGCCGGATGTTGAGATGTATCAAACCGATCACGGAACGGTA